TGATCCTTCTTCATAAAAAATGAAGAAAGTCATTTTGCTAATTTCACTTTGTTGGATAGTCATTCTAGCATATTGCCCCTCCGTCTTTTCCTCTTTTCTCTCTCGCTGAAACTGTTACAAGATCATACCTTCTAGAGATTGTCATCGGATTTGGCCAGGTGTGACTACGGCGATGAGGACTGACTTGCTGGCGTTTGTTTGCGACGGGGTCAATTGGCTCATGGTGTGATTTGGATGGATTCTCAAGAGGGTCAGCGCGGCAGAGAGCTTGTGGAGTGGGCGAAAACGTAACGTCGGAGTCTTGGCTTTCAAGGACGCCGGGGAGGATTTCCGAGAGATATGAAGGAAATCTTGAAGGTTGTGGTGTGGCTCGATTGAGAACAGATCTTGGAGATGGATGGCAGAGGCGATTGGTGAAGAAGCAGCTCGGCGACGATTTCGAACTGGTGGAGCCGGAGGATGTTGGGGGGGGGGGGGGGGGGGGGGGGTTGATTTTCTCATATCTCATATCCGAGAAAATTTTTTTTTTTAAATTTTGTTTCTTAAATGATTTTTATTTTTTAGTATTCTGAATTAGTTTTAAAAAATAATTTTAATTTTTTAGTAATTAATTCATTTTTTAGAGATTAATTTATATTATTTTTAGTTTAGTTAAATTTTAATATTTTAATATGATGCCACGTTAGATAATCAGTTAGTATTATAGATGAAATTAGACAATCAGTTTATAGATGAAATTAGACGAAAATGATATTTTGAATCATTTTTTGTATATCTGAAAATGTTTTGAACTCTTTTAAAAAATTTAAGACACTTTAAATCGAGGTAGATAGTTAAAGGATAATTATGAAAATAATTCTATTTTTTATATATCAAAACCCACTAAAACAATGTGCCCGTTTATTTTCATTTTTAAAAACGTTTTTCACGTTTTTCGATGATAACAAATGAAAACGGATAGATAAAACGCGTTTGGTGCAACAATTTTCTAAAAATTGAAAACAAAAATGTTTTTGTCCTTTTTTAAAAATCTGAAAACGATTTAAGACCGTTTTCTCTCTTCTCTCTAAATTTTTTTTCTGCTGTGAACTCTTCGAGGATAAAAAATGAAAACAGACTGATCTCTCTCTCTCTCTCTCTTCTTCCCATTTATCCCCCACGGTCCTTTCTCTCTCTTCCCTAATCTTCAGACAACTCTCTCTTTCGCTCTGGCTCTCTTCTCCGATATCTCTCTCATCTCCCCACGTTTCTCTCTTTTCCCTGAACTCAGGACGCCGTTCTCGGACTCGTGACTCCGATCTTGTGAGGGAAGACGTAGACACTGATTGGGAGTACTCATATATGGTTCTCGTCAGAGTTTTCGATCTCGCCGATCTCCGACCTCGCGAGTGAAGACAAAGAAGTCGATCTCATCGCTGTTGTTTTTGCTCCTTTTCCCTCCTCTGAATCGCGCTGGAGAATCGGCGAACTCGACTCAGTTATCATCCACGCCGTGCTCTCTCTCCCCTCCCTCTGCTCTGTTCTCTCTCAAATATCTGCACCAAATCCGATGTGGACGACGACAGCTAGTGGTTCGTGCTCCACCGAAGATTGTCGCGAGTCGGAGATGTGCAAGTTTTCACATAATCACGACCGCGGAGGTGGCAGCGCGATTCCCTGGGCTCGTCAGAACTTGGCCGTGGAGGTGGTAGCGGGATTTGCGTGGGCTCGTTAGAGCTGAGATGTGGAGGTGGCGGCAGCGGATCTTATTTGCAGATATTTAATACTATTATTTATTTAATATATTTTAATTTTAAATATTATTACATGTTTTTAAAATTAAACCACCAAACACAATTTCAGTTTTTTTTTAAACTAAAATCAATCTCGGAATAAAATTACCAAACGAATTTGCAGAAATGATTCTAAAATGAAAATGAAAATGTTTTCATTTTCATTTTCATACAAAAAATAAAATAATTTTGGAACGAGTTCCAAACGCACCCAATATTTTCTCAAATATGTTTCTTTTTAGACTGCTTTTTTGCGCAACACTTGCAACTTTTTGTTTTTTTTTTCTTTTGGGTAAAAACATTTTTTCTAATTGATAATTGTTGAGGTAATTTTTCTTTAATACGTTCGTATTATGTTATTAAATGTTTTTCTCTATATGACTCTTTTACTTTTCTTTCCTTTGGTTTTTTTGGGTCCTCCTTTTTTTTCCAGTCCCTCATTTTTATTTTTTTATCCCCTTATTTAATCTTATCATTTTTTTCACTATACATCCTTATTTAATCTTATTATTTTTTCTCACTATACATTCTTGTTTTTTTCTTTCCTTCTTTGTAAATGTGGTCCTTATAAATATTTTTTCCCTAATAATCCTCTAAAAATATATTTTTTCATTTATGTCCCTATCTATACTTTTTTTTTTTATGAAACCATCTCAAATATATTTTATATGTGTGCCTAAGTAAATAATCTCCATCATTTATATAACAACAATTCTTTGTTTAATGGATCTCTCTTCCTTTTTTTTTTTTTTTTTTTTTTTTTCCTTTTGCTATATTTGCTTTAGTTTTTGGCCCTTAAACCTCTTTTGGTTCTTTATACTAATGTATTGATGTGGTATTTTTTTTTAATCAGATACGTTTTTTAACTTGGGACAAAAAAGAAAACAATGATGACAACCATATTCAGCATTGTGGTGTCAAATTTGCATTCTCATTTTTTGTGCAAAAATCAATCAACGTAATTATATCAATATTCAATATTGAGATTGCAAATTTGTATTCTACAATAGTAACAATACTCTGCACAAAAATTACTCTTTCTTTTTGTTTTTAAAGGATCTCCTTCATAATTTAATTTCTACAATTTTAAATTTAGAAGTTTAAGTACTTTAGTTTGACAATAATTTATTGCGTGATGACAAGAATAACGTAACTCAAAATTCATATTTCCACCTAGTTAATAATATGGTTACTAGCACAATTTGTCCTTAAATTATGAACATTAAGACGCTTTCACAAATTACTTTCTGAACTTTTATTTTTTTAACCACTTTAATCCTTTACAATAAAATTGAAAAAGGATTTATGAAATTTCACAAAGAGAATCATGTCTTAATCACAAATAATAGAAAACTATTCTAAAAATAATTACATTACGTAAAATATTCCCTCACCATTGTTAAAGGACTCTTAAAAACTAGACCATTTTGAATTTAAGGTAGATATTTGTGTAATAATTTCAATTATTAGACGATTGAGACACGATTTATCTCAAAGAAATTTTAGAAATCATGTGTCAATTTCATTGTGAGGATATGAAATGACTAAAAAAATCAAAATTCAGAGAATAATTTATCTATAATCTATAACATACATAAAAGAGTTATTTTTCCATCCCTCCTTCTCCATTTGTCACATGTCAACTCTCACTTATTTATTTTTTTATTTTACATTTTCTAATTCTTTCTTTTGAAGACTCTTCTACAGTTTATTTATTACAACGTGTTTTTTGTAATATTTTTTCCTCATTTTACTTATATAAAAATAATTTATTTCAAATGTGAACTTATTCATTTTTTTTTTCATTTTCATTAAAATAACCTTTACATTGTGATTATTTTTCAGGCAAAATTTATGATAAGACATGTATTTTTGTTCTATTGGTAAAAACTAATGTTTTAGCTATTAGATTAGCTTTTCAATAGACTAATCTGGAGTAAACAATTCTGTGTCACTCGTTGTTAATTTTTAATCTAATATATAATCTACATATAATAATTTATTAACTATTGAAAGAGCCAAGTCCTTTTTCTCCCTGCGGCAGACCTTCTCCCTTCCTTTTTTTTTCTTTACATTTTTTTTTAAATGTTTTGTCGTTTTTTATTTTTCTTAATTTGTAAGTTTTTTTGCAATTTATTTTTGTGTTTTGACGCATTTCCAAATGTACATAGCACTTGTCTCAACTAACTAAAACTAAAAATTCAAACATCAAAGTAACACAATACTCCTAATTCAATGTCTAATCTATAAATCTATAATTATATAGAAAGTTCAAAATGTTGTTTTGGTCGAATCCCTCTTTTTTTTTTTTCCACTAAAATGTTCAATTTTTCATTTTCAGCTTTTCCCTTATTTTTTTTTTCTTTCCACCTTTTCTTTTTCCTTCTACTTTTCTTCCTAAAAACTTTTTATTTTTGATCATTGCCCTTCTTTTAACTTTTTTTCCCTCTCATTTGTCCCGATTAAAATTTTTTATTCCAAATGTGATCCTACTTAGATATTTCTTCTCAACGGCGTCTTCTAAAATATTATTGCACTAAAAGTTATTCTCATAATGTCTTTTCTAATTGTCCCATTAAAATAAATTTCTATAAATATGTCCCTCTAAAATTTTGTATTCTTTATTCTTAACCTTAATTTTAACTTTTTTTTTCTCTCATTTATCTAATTAAATATATATTTTTCAAATGTGATCATACTTGTTTCGAGTGGTGCTACGAAATATTATCACACAAAAGGTCATCCTCACAAAAAAAAAAAAAAAAACACATAAAATATTAGTACTAGTGATAGTTGAGACTTGAGAAAATGTTTTTTAAATATTAGTTCAAATAAAAGAGAAAAACGAAACCACTTACAGTTTAAATTGTGTTATATCTTTTAATTGTTTGATTTAAAAAATTTTAGATTATTTAGGGCACGTTTAGTTTACTGATTCGAATTGAGATGTGACTTTATATGAGAATTTTTTACTGTAATAAAAAAATTAAATATAACTATTTTTAAGAATTTTTTACTATAATAAAATTTAAATTTTAAACTTAAATTAATAAAATGAATGAGACTTTAATAAATGATTTAATTTATATTTTACTTAAAATAAACGGTCTGTTTAATTTGCACGTTCCTAATAATTACAATAAATGAATTTGTTTTTTTTTTTTTTTAAAAGGTAATAAATTACAAACATTTTTTTTCCGTAGTTTCTGTTATTTAAGTTCTGATTTCGTAAAGCCTTCCTCTCCCGCTTTCAATTTCCCACAATTTGGATGGCTACGCCTACCACCACCACCACCACTCCGTTTCTTTCAATTCCAGACCACGCCATGAATTCCCTCCCTCTCTCTCTCCCACTTTCTCTCTCCTCCAAATTCAGAGCCAATCCCTCGCGCCTCTTCTCTTCCCATCTCAGAGCCTTCTCCGCATCGTCTTTGACCCTCGCCGACGACATTCCCAGTCCGGCGACGAAACCGGTTCCCGCTTCCAAAAGTGGCGTCAGAAATAGGGTTAAGGTTGGTGTTAAGGCTTCCGAAGCTGAGCTGAAAGAGAACTGGTTAGCCTCTCTTTCTTGCCCTTTGCCTAAAAGATTTGGAGGCCTCGGCGGCGATGGGGAGGAATCAGATATAGCGATTGCGGGTTCCGATTGGGTTATCGGAATCGACCCGGATACTCACGGTGCATTGGCGGTCTTGAAAGGGAACGGCCCCGACTGTTCTGCTCAGGTAATTTGGGGGCTTTCACAGAGTTAATTCTTTAATTAGCTGGAGAAATTCCGTTTGATATTTTTCATTTAGCTGTAATCTAAGAAAGCTATTTTGAAGCACTCAGTATTTTTGTGGCTTAATTCTCATTTACTGAATCTGCTTTTGGGGCTGATACAGAATTTTAAAGGTTGAGTTTGGGGTTTAAGGAGTTCCAATTTTGCATTAAATTAGTAAGTTTTCGTAAGATTAATCAATTTGGATATGATGATAGAGCAATTTAGAATGTCCTCATAGTTGTTATGATATGAATGGTAATTTATTTCTGCTGATTTAAAAAGAAAAATCTAATCGAAGTTTCAGGATCTTCGACAATGTGACTTTTTACCTATTCAAGGGTTACAGCTTTTGATCACAGGCTCGTTTAATTTGCTGCTTTGAGTTTTTAATTCGAGTTGAGATGTATTTTATGTGAGAGCTTTTGACTGTAATAAAAAGTTAGAGTGACTGTTTCTGAGAGCTTTTTAATGTAGCAAAATTCAAATTATGTCACCGTGAAATGATTGAACTTAGACTTTGTAATGATTTGACTAGGGATGTTTGCTTCTCAGTTTTCTGTCATTTTTTTTTTATTTTTTCTTGGTTTGTTTAAGTTGACACTTGTATCTCTGTTTATCAGCAAACATTTCCTCAGTAGTCAGTACCAAATTCAACCGTTTGTCACTCCCTATAACTCACTGGTGTTATTAGATGGACATTGGACAAAAAATTTTCATTGTTCATTGTATTTTTCTTCTTTTACTTTTCAGGTATTTGACTCTCCAAACTTGCCAGTATCAATTGGTGGAAGAGTTCGGAAACGCCTAGATGCTAAATCTATCATTCAGTTGCTCCGCAGTTTTGATGCTCCCATTGGTATGTAATATGTTGGTGCTGAATTCTCTCATATTCCTTATCTTTGAGACTTGAGACACTTTTAAATAATGAAGCGTCAATACCTTCAGTGTTCTGCAGTTCTGCATAGGATGACGAAGATAGATTTAGCACCATGTGATTGTGGGCTGTCATACTTGTCGGATCAATCCCTTCATTTTCTCCAAAGTTTTTTTGTGTGACAAAGAAAAAGCTAGGCATAGAGGGGTTGCTAACTTATAGTTTAAAAGGATATTCTAAGTTTGTCATGAACTAGTTTCAACCATTGATCCCTATGGAGCCTTGTTTTTGCCTTAGCAATTTTCCCTTGTGAAACAGATTGTTCAATGCTTGTAGCTTTAAAGGCATGGTTGATACTTGTCTTTCTTGTGCTAAAGTATTAAGGAAAAAGTTAAATAATTAACAACTATATTTCCTAGTTGTTAGTGTCAGTTCGCCTGGTAATGCAATATTGCATTTTTTTTTTCTGTTTCTTTAATACTAACATATTTCTTTAATTCACTGTTTTCTTCTTTTGTTCATTGTTTACATTTTCCCTACTGTGCACATAAATTAGCAGGTAATGTCCTGCATATCATTTTATGATGGTCCTCTGTTGTCTTGATTGCTGGTGATGGTTATACTTTTTATTTATTTTCTTGTTCCTTGAGATTTATTTCTGATAAATATTGTTTCCACTTGTCACGTCTCATACGCGCAACTTGTCGTTATTTTTCCCTTATGCTGATCATCTGTTTTGTTCTAATGTGTTCTTTTTAATTTTAGTCTGGAATTCCCTCCATTATAAGTTATCTACTTCTTGCTTCAGGCACTACTGCATATATAGAGCAATCAATCCCTTTTCCAAAAGATGGAAAGCAGGTAAATTGTTATCTCTGGGTAGAAGATAATTCTTGCTGTAATTCCCTCTGAATGATAAAGCTGTTCTTTTTTTTTTTTGTTTTTTTCTTTTTGGGCTGCTTCATAACAATATGCTGTCAGTTCCTTGTTCACTTGATTGTTCTATAATCTTATCACATCTGTTCTTCTCAAAACTTAGTTTTTAGGTTACAGAGAAAAAATTCCACATCTTTGATTATGGAAAGGTTTATTTGCGTATCCTTTTTGGGGAAAAAAAACAAAGAAATGAGGAAAATAGATTTATATACGAAAAAGGGTATCTCTCAGCCCCGATTAATTAAAGAGCGCTTTGATTCGTAGTTAGAGACCCTGAGCCTAGATATCCTGATAATGATAGCAGAGGGGTTTGTTTTTTATCGGCGGGATTCAGTGGCTCAGAGAAAGAATATAGTGTGGCATTTAATATTAGATTTGCCTATTGTCCACATGTTAAAATATGTTTTGATGTTTAGAATGAGATGAAAGGATGTAGCTTCTAGATTTACTTTCCCAAGATATTACTATTCTTTTTGTTCTTACGTTTCAGTTCTGTTGTTATTATGTTTTAGTTCACCCATCGTTCCCAATTTCTCTAACTTTTACCGGAGAGTTTTGTATATCAAGTTGACTTCAATGGAGCTAGTTTTTATATGTCTATTACTCTCTCTTTGCATTATCATTCCCTTTTCTTTCATATCCAATATTTTCCTACTTTCCTAGGGTGGAACTTTTTGTGATGAATCATGAATGTTCATAGATGATAGCTTGTTTAAAAATAATTTTCATTTGTTCTTGCAACTATTAAAATAATTACAAAATTGATTTAATTTTTACATGCTTGGTGAGAGTATTTTCTTGTTTTCAATGAAGGGGTGGTGGAGTGGTGGATTCGGGTATGGACTATGGATAGGGATCTTAGTTGCCTTGGGCTTCTCTGTTGTCCCAGTGCCATCGTTTGCTTGGAAAAGGAAAATTGAAATCTTTGGCAGCACGCCTACAAAGGTTTGGTTGTTTCTTACGCTACATTTTTCATGCACATATGTAACTTCTTGTAATCATTTGTATTATGCTTGGTGTATAGCATGTTAAAGATTTGCTGCATCATCTATTCACGTTTTATCATGTATGAGAATCTGTCTCCTGTATTAATACTTGTGTTTTATGGGAAAATAAAGCAATCTTTATGTTCAAGAATCAACAGATTTTTTACTTACTATGTCCCAAACAGTACTGTTTGTTGCAAAATGTGTTTTCTATGTACTGTGACGTTTTCAGATTTATTGAGGGAATGGGAAATGATTTTGCGACGGTTTTATCAGTGATGTCACAGGAATGGGGATGTGTGATTGCTATTATAGATGTTTTATGTCATGTTTTGTTATGTTATAGCCTTACAGGAGGATTCTTTGTCCTCTGCTTGTTGTACGGTTCTGAACGCTTCACCACCGGCGGCGGTCGGCGGCTCTGGTTCTCGAAACCCCACGATTCTAGACTCTTCTCACCGTTTTTTTTGTAATATATTTTTTTCCACAGATTTTTTTTTTTTTGTAACAATGATGCCAAAGCTCGATGCTTTGATACCAAAATGTTAGGAACCTGGTTATCACAGCTCAATTTTCACACAGAACAACAAGAATAGAAGGCAATCAGAGTGGTTTTATTGATCATCACCAACACTAGCTCATAAAATTTACAACCAAACTAAGAAAAATGTAAAGAAAGCTTAGGATAGACTAGAGTATTCGAGAACTCTGGAGAACTCCTAACTCAGTCTCCCAAAACTCTCAAAATCACAGCCTACCTCTAGTGAGCCACTATGCTCTTTATTTATACTAATTCCTACTAACTCTACCAGCCCACTAACCAAACAAGTTCTCAAGTCATTAACGGATCCTAACAGTTTTTTTTTTTAAATTTTTTAAAATTTTTTTTTTTTTTAAATAATGTCTAACAAACACACCTTTCTTTTTCTTGCCTTCAAGACATTGCTCCATCACTTTCTGCAGAACATGCTGCCTGTGAAAAAATGTTTTTTTTATAGTCATTGTTATTGCATCGGTGATTCTAGTATTCACCTTTCATTTATTACCAGTACTGAAATTTTACATGATAGGATGATAGCAGGAGAGTTGCATCAACAATGTTTCCTGCACTGAGTGAGCTATTGAAGAGAAAAAAGGATCATGGTACCTATTCTTTTCTCTCGATTCTATTCCATGATTTATTATTGTTGATATTTTGTTTTCTGTTGTTATAAAAAGTCAAGCTAGAAAGAATCAATGGTATTTAGGGAAAATATAGATTCTAGCAAGATAAACTGAACAATTCTTGTAGGACCACTCAGATAACTGCTTTAAGATTTGGCTTTGATACCAATGGAGAGAGTTGTGTTGCAAAAGTTCTGGAAAGAATTTAATTTGATAAGGTTTTTCGTCCCCAAGACTCCGAAATATATTACTCAAGTTATGTACATTCTTCTTTGTTCATGTATCGATTTTCCAATAGCCTTACAATTTGTTTGATATTTTTTGTATGGTTAGGGAGAGCGGACGCTCTACTCATTGCTGCATACGGGAGAAGCCTAAAGATGGAGTTGGACTCCTCACTTCAGGTAAAGGAATTGGTTTCTCAGAATGGGCACGTCAGCCTTACTTGTTCCTAACTTCATGCTACATTTTTAAGAATGTCAGAACAGACAGTTAAGGGTAAAAGTGGCTCAAGTTATTAGGGGCCTTCCAATCATAGTAACTGTAGGAGATTCGTTAATTATGCTGCTAGCTGTCCAATTTCTTGAGAGGGAGAAAAAAGGGAGCTTGTTTATTATTATTGTTTTCATTAGAGAGACAAAAAGGTATTTCTCAAAGATAAATCGATAAAGAGCAGGAAGGTACAAATCGACCTATTCAAGAGAAGAGACATGATAAAAGTGAAAGTAGCATGTTAGGAGTTGAAAGGTCTTTGAAAGTTGTTCTGGACTTTAAGGAATGTATCCGAGCAATACACAGGTGGCGATGAAAAATGGGAAGAAAACAGTGTCAAAGAAGGATTGACAAAACTAAAGCTTATGAAGACATTGAAGTAGGAGAAAAAAGGTCAGTTCTTCCTTTTGGGTTTTGCTCCTTGCCTGATGGCCAACTGTGGATGGAAAATGCTTGTTCTTGGCGGTATTATATAGCATTGAATTTTTTCGGAGTTGGTTTGGTCGAGCTAGATTCATTCCTACTTATTTAGCAGATATATGATATTGTTCAATGAGTTCAATTATTTACAAATTCGTCAAAATCCATAGTTAGGACTTAGGAACTTAGGTAGTTGTCCTCTTATATTAGCTTCCCGCGGGGTAAGGGTTATTTTTACAAAATTGTAAAAGAATGAGTGATTGAGGTTAATTTACGATTAATTGAGCATTTGTAATCACTTGGGTTGAACTGGATGCATATTCTTGTGTATTGCATCATTCTTCAAGTTCCTTTCCAACAAGTATTGTCAATCACTGATGTTGCAAAGCCCCTATAATCAAATGGATTTGTAGGCTACTAACTTTCTAGAAAATGACCTCCCTTTTTAACTTCTTTCCCAACTTCTGATGTGATTATTTATTTCCCTTCGCCAAACCTGAAATGCATGCGATTCTCCTCTCAATGTGTCAACTAAGAGATTGAGCAATGAGCATGTTTTTCATAAATTAAATAGAAACGTCACGAGATGCAAAATGTTATCTCAAATACATTAGAATGGTTTGAAAGAAGCGCATTAAGCCAACCAAAAAAAAAAAAAAAAAAAAAAAAAAAAAGAGAACTACTAAGGAGCATTTGGGGAAACAGCTAAAAAGAAAAAAGATACGAAAAAAACAAAAACAAATAGCAAAAGAAAAAAGGTGTGATGCATGGCCAAAGGAAGAGAACAAAATATATGGATACATAGATTTATGATGAGGCAATCATAATTCAGAGAATTACATAAAAAAAAAAAAAAATCTACCATTTCATGAAATAACCGCACAGTCTCTTTCGATTGACTCAACATGCATGCTCCGTGTACTAAGGATGTGTAAGTAACAACATTTGGAGCAACACCTTTATTGGTCATTTTTGAGAAGAGGTTGAGAGCATAAGCAACTAGGCCGTCCTTGCAAAGGCCGTGGATAACTGTATTATAGGCAACTATGTCAGGCTTGCAGCTGCAATGTTTTTCCATATTCCTAAGCAACTGAACAGCTGCTGTAGTGTTGCCCAATTTACAAAAACCATTCAGTAATGTGGTGTAAGTAATGATATAAGGCTTTCGACCTCCCCTTGTCATTTTGCGGTAGAATTCAGCTGCCTCATTGACCTTTTCTTGGAGCAAAAACCCCTTTAGTATAGTATTTAGTTCCACAGTGTTGGGTTCATTACCAGATTTAACGAATTTCCCCAACACAGACAAACTAGAATGCATCTGATTCAAATGACAGAAGCAATTGATCATAATACTAAGAGTAAAATGATCATCCTTGATTCCTACAAGACCCATTTGCTTGTACAAAGAAATCACATCAGAAAATACTTTTCTGCAATCTTTACAAACCTTTTCTGCAATCTTTTTTGCTACAGAAAATACTTTAATATTGCTCTTTATCATTTCAAAATATCAAATTTGTCTTTGTTCTCTGTAAATATCTAAGATGTCCATATAAATGTAACTATTCAATAATTAGTCATGTGAGCACATGGTTAATTTCCCGCGTATGGTTTTGAGTCTTTAACAATCTTTTTTTTTAAATTAGTGTGCAATTTGTAACGTTTTAAACGAGGAAAAATGGAACGAGATGCATAGTCATTTAAGAAGATTTATTTGTTGTGGTAGAAAAAGATACCTATAAGTAAGTCACAATTTTTTTCCATAATTGTACAATGTTTGGAACCTAAACCAATTGAGCCCTAAGTCCCCTTAGATACCGATATCTTCATCCTCCAAAGAATCTCAAATCTAAATCTCGATCTCCCTCTGTCGATATGCATCTCTGCATCTCGATCTCTCAAGTTGAAACTCAACTCACAGGACTTGTGAGTTGAACATCTGAAATTATTAATTTACTTGGAGCAGTAAGTCTCAAAAGATCAAAGTTGTTGCCATAGTCATGACAATAATATTTGTCTTGGTCACTTTCTTCGTCGTTCTCTGTTCCTTTTGTGTTGTAAGAAAACAAGATATTGAGTGAAAACTATGAGAAATATTGTACGAGCCGCATTTCTACTAATATAGTTTCATATTGGTTGACTACCTATTAGACAATTGACAAGAACTGTTGACAAGACCAAAACTAGTTTTTTTTTTTTTTTTTTTTTTTTTTTTTTTTTTTTTTTTTTTTTTTGTAATCCAGATTTTTTCGAACTCCATAACGAAATGTTTTGATACAAACAAGCAGAAAAAAAATAATAATAATAAGACTACGTCCACGTAGACTACAAAGATTGAATAAAACAACAAACTGACGACCATGGACCCAAAAAATTTAGACAAGCAACACTTTCATGAGAACCTCAATAACAGACCGACAACCAAACACAATGATTTCGTCCATTTAAATAAGCTTACCTATATCTATAGAGCAACAACCTTTTTTACATTATGTCTTTAGAAATTTACCAAGCACAAAGATAGACGAAAAACAATCACTTTGATAAGTGACAATCAAGCCTTGATAAACAGAGAAGGTCCGAACAACGGCGGATTGATCGCTACTTGTCCATGTCCGCAAATACTGTGTCATTCCCATTTTATCCACGTCATCAAATGTCTTACAATGCCATAGAAATCACTATATTAGCCAATGATCCTTAAATGCGTTCAATATTTCACAATTGGTAATAAATGAATGATTAAAATATGAGGAATATCTTTCAAGTACAAGTTTAAGTTCATATGCAGTTCAGTACATAAATTGATAGGAAAGTTAAAATGTCAAACATGAAGTTACCGTGAAAGATGCTAGGAAATTTAAATACATTAGCTTTTATCCATTTTGTCATTTCATCCAAAAAAAAAAAAAAAACACTTTTAAAAGAACAGATATACCTCAAAAGATTTGAGCAAGACTGACTGAATTAAGGTAGTTATTTTTATAACAATCCTGCCACTCATTTAGTTTTTATTTCGTTTACAATAGGCCCCATTTTGTACCATTGTTGCTCTGCAACCATCATCAGAACTAGTCAGTCTCTTTGCCGGAGTTGCGCGGGATTTCTGCTAGAGTTTCCCCAGTTTCTGTTTCTTTATGCTTTTGTAGGACTGGTTGCAAAGAAGAATCTAAAACACCATTAGCGACCAAATCAACAAACTTTACAGTTGAAGCGTCTGCAGAGAATCCCTTATCCAACATTTCATTATTAAGTTACAGCTGATATCTCATGATTGGCAATAAGTCCTCGGATCATCAAATTATAAGTGCAACTGTCCGGATGCTTTCCATTCTCCTGAATTTCTCCGTGCAAGTTTGAGGCTTCATCAATGAAGCCTTCTCCAAGTAGTCCATCAATCATACTATTATATGTCCACAAGTTAGTTGTAGGCCTATGGATGATAATTGCGAAAATAGATCCTTTGCAGCTACCAAATTTTAAGCTTTACACATCCCTCTAATGAGGATAGTGTAGATCACAATATCGAGCTGTAACTTCTTCTCTTCCATATTTCAAAATAATAAGACTGCCTCTTCAAGTCATCCATTGTTGCATAAGCTATTGAGTAAACTACCATACGTTTGAATATTTGGAAGCATACCATAATCTTGCATCTTGGAAAGTAGCTCCTGAGCATCCAGAACTCGCCCATCTCTACACAGACCATCAATAAGACAACTGTAAGTGACAACATTTGGAATTAATCCCTTAGATCTCATTTCTTCAAACAATCCAAGGGCCACGTCCATCCACTCATTCTTGCAATATCCATTAATCAAAATGTTATGACTATGCAGATCAGCTTCACAACCCTTGGCAATCATCATATCAAATACTTTCCTTGCCTCATCCATTTTTCCTCTCAAGCAATAACCGTCCACAAGCGTATTATATGTTACCACATTAGGTTTGATGCCTCTCTTTACCATAATATCCAACATACGTTGTGCATCTGTAGCCATGCCCTCTTTGCAAAGCATATCCACCAATACACTGAAGGTCCAAACATTCGGAGTGATTTTTCGAGCAACCACTTCATGAAATAACCTTGTAGCCTCTTTCAATGGACTTAGGAAAATTAGGAAATTTGCAAAACAATTCTCATTTCTACGAGGCGGATTTGAGACAGAGTGGTCTTTTTACCAAACCATTTCGCGGAAAATAAAACATTCATCATACCCACGGATTTCATCAGTAAGTTGTAGCGCATTCGATATCTCAAGATTTGAAATTAATTCACGGACAACTCATAATTGAAAGACCAATAGTAGTAATAACCCCTCTAAGAATTAAAGGCGATGAATTTTATGCTGGAACAAGTCTCATAGGAACACAAACTTTACTAAGTGTGCTCAAACTCAAGACAGACAATGGGTTTTGCTGGTTAAATAAATAAAGAATACAACCATTCAAAATATGAAACATTAAATTAAAAATAAAAGAAATGTACTTTTAAATTTCTATATGTATTATGTAATAGATTATATTTAAAACTACATATTAGCATATTACACATAAGATATCTAATTTAAAAATATGATATAATTAAACGGAACGGGTAAACAGAGAATAGAGTTAGGGACCTCTAAATTGGCCTCCATCCCACAACTTGTGGAAAATAGATTATTTACTGTTGATTTTCTCTTCCCCATTCACCAATAAATAGCCTTGATCATAGTTGTCCTTTTATTTAAATAGATTAACTCAAACCACTTTAATAGAATGGACGATATTCAATAAAAGGAACAATCTTGATTTCACATTGAATTTTAAGGTTTAATTTTAAAAGAAAATTTAATTTTCTTTTTTTCATTTATTCAATTTAAAAATTAAAAGTTTCATATAAAAAAATTCAAAAATTAGAACTAAAAGAAAATCATTTAAAAAAAAAAGAAGGAAAAAAAAACAAACTCATAACTAATTTTCAAGGATAATATACAAACACCTCTCTTTTTTCTTTCTTTCTTTCTTTTCTTTTCTTCTTTTTTTTTTTGCCCAAATACTACTTTTAAACTCGTTTCCTTCATTTCATTAGTAAGTTGTAGCGCATTCGATATCTCAAAATTTGAAATTAATTCACGGACAACTCATAATTGAAGGACCAATCGTAGTAATAACCCCTCTAAGAATTAAAGACGATAATTGTATGCTGGAACAATTCTGATAAGAATACAAACTTTGATGAGTGTGCTCGAACTCAAGAGAGACAATTGGTTTTGCTGGTTATGCAGTAGGACGGGTATCAATAGGTTGTTAGGAAAGATCATCTACAACTGAACTTATTTTACCAAAGCAATATTTGACTTTCCTCAACCGTTAAATCTAAATCCAACTATATGTATTATCTCAAAACTAAATTCTTTGTATTTTTTTTCTTTTTTCCTACATGGTCTGTTGTGTATAAACCTCTACTTCAAATTTTTTTTTTTTAATAAGGACGTTGAAGTATTTCACTGACCTTTTCAGCAATCTTGTATCCTAGAGAAAATGGTTTAAATATCTATCTTATTATTTCAAAATATCATGTTTGTCTTTGTTCTCTACAAATATCTAAAACGTCCATATAAATGTTACTATTCAATAATTAGTCATGTGAGCACATGGTTTTGAGTTTTTAACAATTTATTTTTAGATCAGTGTGCAATTTGTAATGTTTTAAAACTAGGGAAAACGGAATGAGCTGCATAGTCAGGGTGTAAATTGAAAATTTTCGTATTTTCTTTCATTTAAGAGGATTTCTTTGATATGGTAGAAAAAGATACCTATAAGTAAATCGCAATTTTTAGCCAAGATAGTACATAGTTTGGAACTGAAACCAATTGAGCTCCATGTCCCCTAAGATATCAATATCCTCATCCTCCTCAAAATTTCAAATTTCAACCTCGATCTCCCTCTATCGATTTGCTTCTCTCCATCCACTCGATCTCTCAAGTCGAGACTCAACTCACAAGACTTATGAGCTGAACAACGGAAATTATTATTTGGACTAGTAAGTCTCAAAAGATCAAAGTTGTTGCCATAGTCATGAGGACTACATTTGTCTTGGTCTCATTCTTCGCCATTCTTTGTTCCTTTTATGTTGTAAGTAAACAAGATATTGACTGAAAAGTATGAGAGATATTGTACCTCTTTTGTGTTCCTACTGATATGGTTTTGTATTAGTTGACTACCTATTAGACAATTGATAAGATCTGTTGACAAAACCAAATCTTTTTTTTTTTTTTTTTGGAATTCAGGTTTCTCTGAACTCCATAATGAAACGTTTCAAAACGTTTTGATACAACCAAGCAGAACAACCAAAAAAAAAAAAAAACTACTAAGTCCACATAGACTACATAGAGAGACTAAAACAACAAACTGACAACCATGGACCCAAACAAACAATTTAGACAAACAACAGTTTCATGCGAACCTCGATAACAAACAGACAACCAAACACAAGAATTTCATCCAATTAAATAAGCTTACCTGGACCTACAAAACAACTACTTTTTTTACGTTATGAAATTTACCATGCATAAGGATAGATGGGAAACAGTCACACTTTGATAAGTGTCAAATCAACTTACCCTCCCGTACATCAGGATCGGAGTACAAGCCTTGATAAACAGAGAAGGTCCAAACAACGGCTGATTAATTGCTGGTTGTTGATGTCTGCAAATACTATACTATTCCCATTTTATCCACGTCATCAAATGTCTTACAATGCCATAGAATGTGATTAGCCAATGATCCTTAAATGACTTCAACATTTCGCAATTGGTAATAAATGAATAATTCAAAAATGAGAAATATCTTTCAAGTACAAGTTTAAGTTCATATGTTGTTCAGTACATAAATTGATAGGAAAGTTAAAATGTGAAACATGAAAAGTTGCCGTGAAAGGTGCTAGGACATTTAAATACATTAGCTTTTATCCTTTTTAATTCATCAGATACCTTTAAAAGAAACAAATATACCTCAAAAGATTTGAGCAAGACTGACAAAATTAAGGTAGTTGTATTTATAACAATCATGCCACTCATGTAGTTTTTAATTCATCAGAACTACTCAATCTCTTCGCTAGAGTTACGCGAGATTTCTGCCAAAGTTTCCCTTGTTTCTGTTTCTTTAAGCTTTTGTAGCAGCGGTTGCAAAGAAGAATCTAAAACACCATTAGCCACCAAATCAACAAACAACTTTACAGTGGAAACGTCCGCAGAGAATCCCCTATCCAACATTTCATTAGTAAGTTGCAGCGCTTTTGATATCTCATGATTGGCAATAAGTCCTCGGATCATCAAATTATAAGTGCAACTGTCCGGATGCTCTCCATTCTCCTGCATTTCTCCGTGCAAGTTAGAGGCTTCATCAATGAGGCCTTCTCCAAGAAGTCCATCAATCATAATATTATATGTCCACATGTTAGGTTGTAGGCCTTTGGATGATAATTGCGAAAAGAGATCCTTCGCAGCTACCAAATTTCCAGCTTTACACATTCCTCTAATGAGGATATTGTAGATTATAATATTAAGCGGTAACTTCTTCTCGTCCATACTTCGAAATAATGAGACTGCCTCTTCAAGTCGTCCATTTTTGCATAAGCCACTGAGTAAAATAGTATACGTTTGAATATCTGGAAGCTACCACAATCTTGCATCTTGGAAAGTATCTCCTGAGCATCCAGAACTCGCCCAACTCTACACAGACCGTCAATGAGACAATTGTAAGTGACAACATTTGGAATTAATCCCTTAGATTTCATTTCTTCAATCAATCCAAGTGCCACATCCATCCCCTCATTCTTACAATATCCATTGATCAAAATGGTATGACTACGCAGATCAGCTTCACAACCCTTGGCAATCATTTTATCAAATACTTTCCTTGCCTCATCCATTTCTCCTCTCAAGCAATAACCGTCCACAAGCGAATTATATGTTACCACATTAGGTTTGACGCCTCTATTTACCATAATATCCAACATACGTTGTGCATCTGTAGCCATGCCCTCTTTGCAAAGCATATCCACCAAAATATTGAAAGTTTGAACATCCGGAGTGATTTTCCGAGCAACCATTTCATGAAATAACCTTATAGCCTCTTTCAATTGACTTAACATGCATGCTCCGTGTATTAAGGAATTGTACGTAACGACATTTGGAACGACACCTTTACGGGTAATTTCTGAGAAGAGGTTGAGGGCATCAATAACTTGCCCGCCCTTGCAAAGGCTGTCGATAACTGTACTGTAGGAAACTATGTCAGGCTTAAAGTTCCTTGCTCTTTCCATGTTCCTTAGCAACTGAAGAGCAGCAATTGTGTTGCCCAATTTACACAAACCATTCAGTAATGTGTTGCAAGTAATGATATTAGGCTTACAGCCTCCACTAGTCATTTTGCGGTAGTATTCAGCTGCCTCATCTACCTTTCCTTCAAGCACGAACCCTTTTATTAGACTATTTAGGGTCACAGTGTCTGGTTCATAACCGGATTTAATGAGTTTTCCCAACACAGATGAACTGAAGCCCATGGAGTTTAGATGACAGAAACAATTAATCACAATGCTGAGAGTATAATCATCAGGAGATATTCCACAAAGACCCATTTGCTTGTATCGAGAAATCACAACGGAATAATGTTTCATTTTGGCAATTTGGCCCAACAACTGATTGAAACAAACAACAGAAGGAAGAGGACGGATTCGGAGCATTTCATCAAACATCTTCAAAGCATCTTCAAGAGTTTCAATTTTATCGTGCTCTCTGCCATGTTTGCCTCGAGAAAACTCTTTCGAAGAGGCTTTAGAATGGTTTTGAGATATTAAATTCAACGCAACAGAGCAAAACTAGGCAGAGGAGGAGAAGAAGAAGAAGACATACCACCAAGGCCATAAGAAATCCCAGCAGCACCTCTCTTCAAGAAAACCCAATTCGTTTGCGAACCAACTCTCTGCATCTCTCTCTCTATCTAACCTCAGAAATTTCAGTCTCTGCGATTATTTTCTCTCTTTCAGAAAACCCAGAACACACTCTCTCTGTCTAGATCTCTTTCCCCAAGCGCTGGGAGGTCGCATGTTAGCGAAATAAAAATTTGTATTGTTGTTCATTCAATACGCATGTCGTTTTGTGAAATGTGATGGTAACGTGGGGGTTCTGTGGGACCGACTGCTGTTTAAAAAATGGTCAAATGATTCTTCGAAGAAAAAAAGTTTAAACCCCACCTGCCCTCATCACCTTCTCGTCTGGCGTCTTCTTTCTTTCTTTCAACTGTCATTTTCTTCAAGTTTAAAGCAGACCTCTAAGTTTCAATACAATTGATAATAAAATTTTACTGAAACCATACAAGTTTTGTATCTAACCGGAGAAGAAAAAAGGAAAATCATAATAATAATTATAAAAGTGAACAACAGTTCATCTTAAAGCTCTAACACCATCCAAACCCATAATCATTAAAAGTGAACAGGTTGGCCATTTCATCTTACAGCAATTTTCTAAGACAAGTATTGGAGATACACGCCAAGTAGTAGCTTCCAGTAATAACTAAACGTGGCGATTTGGTTAGCGTGGCATCAAAATATTCAACAACTAAACATTGGTAAACCGTTCAATTATAATCCAAGAGCTGTGGTAAACCTGCTCCTCCGGTGGAGCAAAACAAGGGGTCGCACAGTAAAGGTTCCCATAAGATTTATGCTGACAGACTTCAATATAGGGTGGAAACTCACTAAATAATTTTAAGAAAACTAAAAAGCAATCTATCTTTTCTCACTATACACATGGAGAGAGATGACACCTTCTCTTCTTTTGAAACTCCTAAGTTTGATGAAAGATGTTAAGTGGATTATTTAACACTTTTTTATCACTTTATGTATTTATTATTTAACATGTAAACTCTATTAATATGATATATTATTATTTAAATAAAAATAAGATTGTAAAGTCCACATATTTACAGTGAAAATGCATAAAATGACAAAAATAATAAAAGAAAGACTGATGTTAACATTTCTAAGTTCAAATATCTACCAAAAAGACTTATGAGTTGCTACCAAACCAATCAACTGCAAGTTCTTCGTCGTGATCACTAGGTGTTGAAGAAGACAAACTGTTGGTCGGGACAGACGCTGGTGTCGAAATCGGAGGAGGAGGAGCGAGGGATGGCTGCGAGAGAAGCTTAGGTCGAGTTCACAGTTGAAGATATAGGCAACATTTATGCCGGAATTCTCAAATATGAGTGAAACATCCAAACCAGATATGTTAGAGAGAGAGAGAGAGAGAGAGAGAGAGAGAGAGAGAGAGAGAGAGAGAGAGAGAGAGAGAGAGAGAGAGAGAGAGAGGAGAACAGAATTTTTTTTAAAGAAAAAAATCTAAAATTTTGATTTATTTAGCATTTTTTATTTGTTAGGAATTATTGTATTTTTTATTACTTATGATAACGGTCTTCTTTTAATGAAAGGGTTAAGTGGATTTGATTTATTTAGACTTTTCACATCATTTATATGTTGCACTAATATGCTGCAGTTAGGATTTTACTCCATGTTACTATGTCTTTACTTGCTCTGTTGATGGAACAAAAATGTTTGTCTGCACAATAAAGGCTCCCTTATTGTTTGTGTTTTATATTGTTCATTGTTTGAGGTTTGAAGCTTTTTATTATTTGTTTGATGAGATTTGTGGTTATACTCGAGACAAGATATTTGTATTCTCATCTTCTTGTTTTTAAGTGAATATGGTTTTGCTTTGTTTTGTTTTGTTGTGTTTTATATATCAGCTCTTGTTTTCTAAATGAAAGTCGCTTTTAATTTTTTCAGTAAGTTTTTAAAAATACATGTCATGTCTAAAAAAGACTTATGGCACGTAGATATTTTTCTTTTTTTTAAGACTTACAGGGTACAACGTCAATAAATTGCTAAACTATAGGAGATCATAATTATATTTTCCCATTAAAAATTGATTGGAACGAAGTTAATCATACAAAATGAAACTTAGCATTAGATAAGATAAGATAATATATAGTTACGAAATGAAGAAACAATTCCACAGTTGAGCCATCGGTTTTACCATTTCACTAGCAAACTGAACTAATTTTGGTATCTAACAATTATGGACGAATCCTCGGCTCATTTTCTTTCAATCCTCTATACAAATTTATCGCTACATCTAACTGCCTTTGGTTAGAAATTCAAACAAGAAGATATGAGGCCTTATCCTCGACGAGCAAACAGAGAAGGTACAAGAAATTGAGGAATAGAGGACCTTTTTTTTGGCTGAATTTTTCATTCATTCCAGAACAAACAAAGAAGCAAACAGCAAAGACAACAGACACCACATGCCGCTAGTCTCCGACAAGACAAGCGGAAACATCGAAATTAAAATAAAATAAAATAAAACAAAGACAAAGAGGCCTTTAGAAGGAATCACTCCTCATTGTCTTTGAACACTTCTATAGGGACTCTATTATCTAAAGGAATGACTCCTGCGACTTGATTCCACCTAGCCCATTTTGCGAAGTTGTGTGCCACAAAATTACATTTTCGACTCACCCAAGAGAAATCCTTAGCAACAAAGCTATTACAAATAAGATCACAGTCTGTTTTAATACTCTGAATACACCACAGACAGGCTTCCATCTTCCCTGCTAACCCTTTACTTTCTATTCTTACCTCATCAAGGTGATGAAAATACGCCAAGACGCTGCCAAATGACAAACCTCCGCTTCCGTGACGAGAACTTCGCGAGTATAAAACAATATAGAGGCTGCCCACGAGATAGAACCGCTGTGATTACGAGCCATGGCAGCCATCATCGCATCCTCGGATCTATTTGTTTGACTAATAGATTTGATGACGTCACAATTATTGGAGGGGCAATTTAATGAATTATTTACATAAATGTCTTATGAAGTATATACTATATTTTAAAATACCCCATGATCTATCAAAACACATCAAAATGTCTCTAATCTACGGAAAACATAATAAAATAATAATTTTACTGATGTAACATGTCATTAAAAACTAATATGACATTGAATTCTAATTGAATTAATGAAAGTGATTAAATATTGCAAAATATAAAAATACTTCACTTCAAAAAATTCAAAAATTAAAAAAACTCGAAAGAAGAGGAAAAAAACTGAAAATTTTCATCATCTCCAGTTCTACAAGTGCAGATTAAAACCAAATTTTTCACTTCTTGAAACAAATTTGTTCAGTAATCATTAATTTGTTTTAAAAAATAAATTGTTGAAAAATTAACTTTGAGGGGAGAAATGACATTTTACATATCAAAAAAAGACCTCGGGATACAAAAATATAATTTCTTAAAACGTTAGATATCAATTTAAAATTATCAAAAACACATGGTACTAAAAAATGATTATACTAATACAACATACCAATATAAAATTTTCCCATTTTTTAAGTCAATCTTAAATTTTGATTTATTTAGTATTTTTTATTTTTATTTTTTAGATAACGGTCTTCTTTTAATGAAAGTGAAGTGTAATTTGATTTATTTAGTGTAAAATGAAAATGCTTATCCGCACTATAAAAGCTTTCTTATGTCTAAGACCTGTTGGTCTAGTGACACTGAAGGTTTGAGTGAGGTGGGGTGTAGGTGGAGGGTTGCGAGTTCAACCCCGTATAAAAGAAAAAATGCTTCCTTATTGTTTTTGTTATTTTGTTTATTGTTTGAATTTTGAAGTTTTATATTATTTTTGTTTGATGAGATTTGTGACGATACTTGAGACAAGATATTTGTGTTCTCATACCTCTTTTTTTTTATTAGATAATTTTGTTTTGTTTTATTGCGTTCTATATTTAAGCTCTTCTTTTCTAAATAAAAATTACTTTTAAATTTTTTAGTAAGTACTTAGAAACACATGTCATGTCTAAAAAAACAACCTTTAAGGTACAAAGACGGTTTATTTTTTTTTTATTATTATTATTATTTTTTTTGTCAAAGTTGATAAATTGCTAAACTAAAAGACACCAGAATTATTTTTTCCCATCAAAAATCGATTGGAAGGACGTTGATCACACAAAATTAAAAGAAAATTATAGAAGTGAAAAGTTTTGAGATCAAATGAATTGTCCTTGGTTTTTTTTTGTTTAAGAAATGATGATACAAGTACCACCTATTCTACTAATAAAGGAAAAGCAATCTATCACTAATTTTGGCCTAGTAATAGATAATCATCAGCCATACACCTCTACTTTTTGCTATCTTTCTTTTCGTCCTCTTCATCTTCATATCTCCGATTTATTTCCTGCTGGATCCAGAAGACCTCTTTCTCCAATAATAGCTAATTCAAAAGATACAATAAGAAAAATAATAGCTAATTCTATAGTCAACTAGATCAAGAGCTCCAAAGAAACGAACATGAAAAAGAATGAATTTCCCACCATTCTCATTAGTAAGGTGCATGGCCCTTGCTATGTCGTGGTTAAGGACAAAATCTCAGACCATTAAACTATAAGTACGCAACAATCTGGATAAATCATTTCTGTACAAAAATTTATGTCTTCATCTACGAAATCCATTGATCGTTAAATATTAGAAATCCTCACATGAGAATACATGCCGTTGGACCATAAGCCACAAAAGAGAAAATGTCAAATCTCAAGCTTTACATATTACATAACCCCCAATTAGTTATAATAGATCATGATATTGAGCGGTAACTTCTTTTCTTCCATACCTTGAAATAATGTCGTTGCCTCTTCAAGTCCTCGGTTATTGCCCAAGTTAACGAGAAAAAATCCCTCATAAAGTTATGAAACAAAGATGCCAGCAGATAGCTGATACATTGCTGGTTGAACTTGTATGCAAAATACTATGATCCCATTATAGCACTCGATCAAATATCGATTATGCCACATACACATCACAATATAACCAAAAGGTTGACTCACGCATTCAACATTTTGCAATTGAGTAATAAATGAACAGTTCAACTAAAGACATCTCTGTCAATTACAGGTTTAAGTTATAAAAATTGACTAGTAAAACAAAAATGCACCACATTAAAGGAACAAGAACACATTGCTCCTAGCACGAAATGTCAGTGATTTTTTAAATACATATGTACAGATATTATGATTAACCTACACTTTCTATCATCATTTCATACAATAACAAATACATCCTTAAAACAAACAGATATACATGTTAAGATTTGATCTTGACCGGCTAAAGTGAAATATTTGCCTTTACTCTAGATCCCTGCCACTCAATCAGTTTCAGAGTCGCGCACAACAAGTCCCCTCTCCAACCATTGATGCTCCACAACCATCATCTACCTCTTTGCTTGAGTTGCACAGAATTTTTACCAAAGATTCCACAATTTTTGTTTTCTCAACGTTTTGTACCAATGACTGCAAAGAAGAATCTAGTTTACCGTTAGACACCAACTCATCTAACAACTTTACAGTTGAATCATCTGCACAGAAACCTCTTTCCCGCATTTCATTAGTAAGTTGCAATGCTTTTGAAATCTCACAATTCGTAACAAATCCTCGGATCATTAAATTATAAGTACAACTGTTTGGAGGGCATCCATTCTCTTCCATTTTGCTGTGCAAGTTTGTAGCTTCATCAATAAGGCCTCTGTCAAGAAGTCCATTGATCATTACGCTATATGTTCTAACATTAGGTTGTAGGCCTATTGATAATAATTGGGAAAAGAGATCCTTTGCAGCTACCATATTTCCAGCTTTACACATTCCTCCAATCAGGATAGTGTAGATAACGATATCAAGCGGTAACTTCTTCTCTTTCATATCTTGAAATAATGCCATTGCCTCTTCAAGTTCTCCATTTTTGCATAACCCGTCGAGTAAAATAGCATATGTTTGAATATTTGCTAGCTGCCCACAATCTTCCATCTTGCAAAGTAGCTCTCGAGCAGTTTGAGTTCTCCCTACTTTACAAAAGCCACCGATAATAGAGCTGTACGTAACAACATCCGGAATAATGCCCTTAGATGTCATTTCTTCGAGCAATCTCCGAGCCTCACCAATCCTCTTATTCTTGCAATATCCGTTGCTTAAAATATTATAACAATGTAGATTAGCTTCACAACCCTTGTCAATCATCATATCAAATAATTTTCTTGCCTCATCTACTTCTCCTTGCAAACAATAACCGTCCATAAGCGAGGTATAGGTTACCACATCAGGTTTAACGCCTCTCTGTATCATAATCTCCCACACAACTTGTGCATCCGCAACCTTCCCCTTTTTGCAAAGCATATCCACCAAGACACTGAAAGTTCGAACATTGGGAGTGATTTCTCGACCAATCATTTCATCTAATAATCTCATAGCTTCATTTCTATCGCCTAACTTGCACGCTCCATGAATTAAGGACGTGTAAGTAACGACATTTGGAGCAACACCTTTAATGATCATTTCTGAGAAAAGGTTCAAGGCATCAGCAACTAGCCCGCCCTTGCAAAGGCAGTCAATAACCGTACTATATGCAACTACATTAGCCTTGCAGTTCCTTTCTGTTTCCATCTTCCTTAGCAACTGAACGGCTGCATTGGTGTTGCCCGTTTTACGAAAACCATTCAGTAATGTGCTGTAAGTAATTATATCAGGCTTACACCCTCCCTCCACTATTTTGTGAAAGCATTCGGCTGCTTCATCGACCTTTCCCTCAAGCAAAAACCCGTTCATTAAAGTACTCATGGTCACAGTGTCGGGTTGATAACCAGATTTAATGAATTTTCCCAATACAGATAAACTAAATGCCATCTGGTTTAAATGACAGAAACAATTAATCACAATGCTTAGAGTATAATCAGTAGGCATGATTCCTAGAGTACCCATTTTCTTGTACAAAGAAACGACGGTCGAATAATGTTTCAATTTGACAATTTGGCCCAACAACTGAGTGAAACGAACAACAGAAGGCAGAGGACGCATATGGAGCATTTCCTCAAACAAATTCAAAGCATTTTGGAGATTTTCTGCGTTGGGTTTTGTGTAATCAGCTTTGAGATTCTCAATCTGATTGATGATTCTATGGAAATCGTTTGGAGAAGCTTGAGAGTGATTGCGAGCTATGAACAAAGTGTTTAACAGAGAAAGAGAAAACGTACCTCCAATTCCAAAGGCAAAATAGCAAAACCCCAGAGCAGGGTTGGAAGTGAACTTCGCTTTTGAAGCACTTCTCTGCATCTTCAGAGCCGGACAGGAAGCGGGTTTTATTGGGAGGGAGCTTCTTCTCTCTCTCTCTCTCTCTCTCTAAAAGTGAACTTTCTCTCTCTAGGTCTCAGAAAACATTTGAATTGATCCTGACTAGATGGGTAATTCTGCGCTCTGTCTGTCTGGGCTTTGGCCTTTTCGCTCTCCCTTCCCTTTTTCAGGGATTTTTTTACTTTGGTTTGGTTGATGAAAGTTCTTTTTACCTTGATAAAAAGAAGGGAGAGAAAGTTAGTCATATAACAAAAATCTTATTTTGTCGTGTAAATAGCAAAAATTAATAATTAAATAGTTTCCTTAATTTTATATTATAATTGGTACTATCTAACTTATTGTTCCTAAAATATTTTACAAAAAAGAAATATTTATCTTTCAACTTCATTCTCAAGTTATGTTTTCAAAAAAGAAAAAGGACAAGTTTGGCATTATTGTATTGTTGAAAGTTTTTGTTCTTGTTGTACCATTAGTCAAAAGTTGTTGTAACTAGAAGTATACAAGTGTTTAGTAATTTTTTTTTTAAATTGTTGTGAATACTAAAATTAAAAATTTTAGTGTTTGATAAATTATGTATAAAGATACAATGAAGATGTATAATAATTAAAATATACATACTTTATTACACAAATTTTTAGTTAATTTTATTTATATTTCTAAGTTCAATATTCATAATATTTTTACACAAAAATACTATAAAAATATACATTATTTTAATTTATTATTTAAAATATTTCTGAAAATAAATCACCAAATTTCTTATTTATTGTTGTTGTTTTAAAATATTTTGATAATTATAAAAAATATTTGAGTAAAATTCAGCACTAACTTATTAAAGATTTTAAATTTTTAAATAAATATCGAAAGAATGTTTGTTTTTTAAATTTTGTATGGACAAAATAAAATGAGTAGATAAAAAATTAGGTTTTATTATGAAGGTTATTTTAATAAATTTAGACATTAGCAGCAGAAGCATGCTATACAAAAATAACCCTAACTGTTTTCTAAATTATATAGTTTTTAAAAGCTATTAGATAAAAATATGATTTACTAAGGGCCTGTTCACTTCGCTGATTCGAGTTTGTAATTCGAGTTGAGATGTGATTTTATATAAGAGCTTTTTACAATAGCAAAAAAGTTAGATATGACTGTTTCTGAGAAATTTTTACTGTAGCAAAACTCAAATTTTAAACTCGAATCGGTGAAGTGAACAAGGCCTAAATATTCTAACTTGTAGTAGCTTTTAAAAAAAAAAAAACTAAAAACAACTTCTAAAACTAATGTCAAACGGGCCCAAAATTCTTTCTTATTAAAAATAGAGGATTAAACTCTAGGGGGCATTTGGTATGTAGTAATCTTAAGGATGGGAATGAGAATCTGCAATATTACCATGTTTGGTATAAGAATTATAATTTTTAGATTTTCAGGAAAGTGATTACCATGGGATTCACTTTCCCTCATTTTTGAGGTAATTTGAATACCACCCAACATGGTGTTATTCAAATTCTCAGGAATCTCAAAATCATGAGAATCTTATTATTATTATTATTATTAGTTTTATTATTATTATTAGTTTTATTATTATTATTAGTTTTATTATTATTATTAGTTTTATTATTATTATTAGTTTTATTATTATTATTAGTTTTATTATTATTATTAGTTTTATTATTATTATTAGTTTTATTATTATTATTAGTTTTATTATTATTATTAGTTTTATTATTATTATTAGTTTTATTATTATTATTAGTTTTATTATTATTATTAGTTTTATTATTATTATTATATTTATTAATAATAATAATAATATTATTATTATTATTATAGATATTCTTCCATGCGAACAACTAAACACAGTAATGTAATATTTTTAGGAATTTGAAAAAGATTCATGTATAGAACTAAATATAGTAATGTATTATTCTTAAGAATTATATTACCCTCTATCACTTTTTTGAGAATATAATTCCTACTGATTTCTGCATACCAAACGTCCTCTAAACCTTAAGATAGAACTCATTAATGTTCTAGTTCTGATTTTAAACTTTTTGCAACAGTGTCAATGCAAAACCGAATTGACGATCTAAAGACTACGGACAAGGCGGTTTGACTACTTAAACCATACACAACCCTACCTTTTAAGAAAGACAATATAATTTTTCATCTAAAAAATCAACAATGAAGTTTGTTGAATTGCCGAGAATTTAGTCCAAAATGCTTTTTCTTAGATAAAGGCGATGGGCTAAAACACTACGATTGAGATTAGGGACAAAAGAGCGAAATAGCATATTTTTGTGGAGGGATTATAATTAATAGCAGAATTGGGGAAAAGGTTTAGTAAATAGCAGAAAAGATGCATTAGGCATTTTCACATACATCAAAATACCAAAAATACCCCAATAATGTATGTATCTATCTTTCATCTTCTCCGCGTTTCTCTCTCTTCCCACTGTCCCCTCTCTCTCTCCCCTCTCTCTCTTCTTCCCACGTCCCTCTCTCTCTCTCTCTCTCTCTCCTCGAGCAGATTGCATAGACAACGACCTGACTGAAAAGACAGCCACCGCGAAGATTGTGTAGACGGCGGTTTATCCGTCTCTCTCTCCTTGGCAGACCGAGCAACAAAGGCGACGAGCCTTTTCTCGTCTCTCTTTCTCTATGTGGCTTGTTTGCTGTTTGTTTCAAGTTTGGTGCCGCCGGGAAGGGGTGGACGACGAGAGGTTGCCGGGATGGGGCAGACTTGCAGGGAAGACGGAAGGTGGAGGATGAAGAAGATGATAGGACATTTTTGGAATTTTAAAATTTGTTTGAACAAAAGCTGACATTTTTTAATTTTAAAAAAGCTGCTAATATAACTACAACTAATTTGTAAAAGATGACTTTTATTACAATTATCGTTGAGATGGAAGATCTATCCAATTTTTAAGTCTTAAATTGTGTCTAATAAATTAGTCATCATTCATTTAACCAACATAAAGTCATATTAAAACTCACATAAAGTCACATTTAATCTCAAATTAAAAACTCAAATCAACGAATTAAAAACTCGAATCAACGAATTAAAAAAACTCAAACTACGTCATTTCAAACAATCACAATGCTTTTTAATCCAATTTTTACTTTTTACAGCCTCGTTGATTTCACCGATTCGAGTTTTCAGTTTTAAATTTCTACAGTAAAAAACTCTCAGAAAATGTTACAACTAACTTTTTCTGCTACAGTGAAAAGCTCTCATAAAATGTCACATTTCAAGTCGAATCGAAAACTCAAATCTGCAAAGTGAACGAAACCTACATGTTTTAATGTTGAGTCTATCAAATGTCAGGTTATTTGATCAGCAAAGAAAAAAAAAAACTTCAGGTAATATCATTAATTATACATTATTTGATATACCAGGATTGGATAATTAATCTCATTCCAAACTAGAGTTCATGGAAAAGTTACAAATGTTCTTGAATTAATTGCATTTTTTTATTGATCTCAAATTAATTGAATTGCACACTAGAACACTGAACAGTAATCTGGTGGTTGAATGAAAGGACATGAACGAACTAAATCCCCACAACTTTTTTTAATACAACTCAAGGAGCACAAGCGTAAAAAAGTAAAATTTAAATAAAAAAGGAAAAAAAAAGAAATAAGACTTTGTGTCAAATTGAGTTCAGTATAGCCCGTTCAACCTAGATGTTAAAAATATGATAATGGTAACAAATGAATAAATAAAATTGTTCTTTCTCATTAAACTAGAAATTATGACAATAAAACAGCGAAATCTCACCCTACAATGACCTATTTTAATGAAATGCACACACAAAAATTCTTATTCCTTTCAAGCCACAATAGAGAGACAAAACTGCAACGAGACCATCAAATTCAACAGAAACACGTAAAATTGGACATTTCTATTCTCTCATCCGAATAAACACCAAGTCAAAACTATGGCAGCCAAATCCATCATGTACTGGCTCAAACATTTGCTCTAAAGGGTCACCTCAAAGATGACTCCTTCCAGATTACCAACGATACGCCGAGTCCCAACAACATCGTTTATCTGCAACCCGTGCAGCTTAGCATCATTAACCACCATTGAATCCATGCTATTGAGGAAGAAAAATAAATGAAAATATGTCAGAAAGAAGAAAACTGATAACTGGAAGAAAATCACAGTGAAAATCACCTGCTCATAACAGGGATGTTCAATTTCACAAATATTGGAAGTATAATGGTTTATATATGTGTTTTGGGGTTAAAAACATGTTTTATGACTAACATTAGTTTAAGAATCAGATAACTAAAATGTTGTCTCTAAGAGGGCAGCCAGAGGAGGGTTTTAAAGTATTGGTAGCTGCAGAAAACATAATTTTTCAAGACCCTATCAGACGAGATCAAGAACTTAATCTAAGAGCAATCAAACGAACGACTAAAAAAAGTCCTAAACAACTAAAAAAAATTCAGGGTTTCTGAATTTTTTAAGAAAACTTGTCCTAAACAACTAAAAAAAAGTCCCTATAGCAATCAAACAAGATCAAGAACTTAATCTAAGAGCTATTGAGCTATGAACCTTAAAATTTTGAGCTCTCTTTGTGGAATTAGATGTACACTTAAAATATAATTTTTTCTAATAAAGTCATCCATAGTTTAATATTTGCTTGTGTTATTTAGCTCTAATCTTTTTATTTTATTTCATTATTTTACATCTTATGCAATTTATTTTCTGTCACTTACTTTATTTATAATCTAGTTATCTAGTCCATGTTTTATTTTCATATACTCTAGTTGATTAATCCAATTATCTGGCCCTGTTATTTTATTTCCTAATTAATTCAGTTATCAGGTCCTTTCATTCTACCTCCAAGTTGATCCAGTTACTTGGTCCTATTGTTTAAATTTCTATCTAATTCCAGTTAGCTGGTCTTGTTTACTATTCTTCAGTTTTTGCACGCTAGTCCTTTATTTTTTATGCACTTTTGCTTTCATTAGTTCAATATATGTTTAACGCTTATCATTTTTACTAGTGCCTAATGAGTTATTCTAATTTACCAAGAACAATATGAAATAAATTTGACCAATGTAAAAGACTATAAGGTCAATCAGTTCATAGAACTAGAAGGACAACAATTGGAAGAAAGAAAAAAGTAATGAAATGCTAGTTTGAACAATATTTAGGTGATTTTTGTTGTTAGCTATTTGGTATTAAATAAATTATAAGAAAATATAAAAAGAAACAAAATATCTGCAGATGGGAGCAAAAGTCAAGTAGGAAGCCCTCCTCAAAAATAATGAACTATTATTATGAGAATGTCTCTCTCACAAGAAGCTATACGTTACTCTCTCCTTTTGTGCCCAAAACTCAAATGATGAGATATCAAATAGGCGAAATCTCCAAATTTCTCCATTTCTCCATCTATTTTTCACAGAAAGGTTGTGGACAAAGTTTGAATAAGACAGCCATAGACTTTGTTTAAATTTTCCTTCAATTTTATCAGAAGCAGCGTAATTTCAGCAATCGGTTAAAACATTGGACTTAAAAGAGAATCGCACTGAACACGGGAATCACAACATAAAGGGCACTGCATAAGTAGAATATAACTATAACAATCCAAACTCCAATCCTTGTTTTAGAAGTTGGGAGAAAATAAAAATTCAATCTTACATTTTAGCACGGGATACATAGGCTAGTATGAATTTGCATTGACCTCGCCCTCTGACTCGGAGGAGTTTTTCCACTGTGTCAAACAGCAAAGGAACGCTTGACTGTTGAAAGCTTGTGTATTGTCAAGGTTCTCCTTTCAAACAGGGATGAAATGTGAAGATATGAAAGGACTATAATACATGTTTGCTTTGCTACTTAAGAAATATAATAGTGACTGATCGATGACATTGTAAAGAAATCTTGTCATGCTAACCAAGAAAGGTTGTCGAACTACAAGTTGGTTACTTAGATCATGCCAAAATGGGAATTAGGTATTAGCATCAACGTGTATAACAGCAGTGCTAAATATTATAAAGAGACTGTAGGAATATTCGGTTATTACCCAATATCAATTATTCCATATTTGGAATAATTGACTTATTATATTTCCCTAATATTTTAGGTAGTTAATAGAATCTTGATGTATAGCAGATTTTTAGGGATGTTAGTTTCTAGTTTCCTTTTCTGTAGGCTAGTTTCCCGTTTCTATTGAGGAGGCCTATGTATATATATGTGTGTTGTATTACTCCTAAAAGATACAAGAAAAGTAATTCTTCCTCAAAATTTACTTTTATGGTATCAGAGCGGGAGGTCCTGAGTTCAAACCCCCGTAATTGCACTCTTTATCCCCATTTAAAATTGTCATGTGTTGGGTCTTTAATATATCTCGGGCTTAAATATTCACGTGTTGGGCTTTCTAATTAATTTACCCACACAATTGCCCATTGTCCAGCCTACACGTGAGGGGGAGTGTTAAGGATGTGTTGTCATCTACCACATCCGACCCAGTCACATCGTCCGTGGTTGCGCAGTCCTTTGGAGAAGGATCGTCACTGCAAATCACGAATCACAAGTTGAACGGCAAGAATTTCCTCCAGTGGTCCCAATCGGTCTTGATGGTGATCTGAGGGAGAGGAAAAATTGGGTATATCACAGGTGAGGTTCGGCATCCCGATGTGACGGATCCGACCTATGGAAATTGGGAACTCAATAATTCCATTGTTATGGCGTGGCTGATTAACTCAATAGAGCCACATATCAGCCGCACATATTTATTTCTTCGCACTGCTAAGGCCATATGGGATGCTGTCAAAGAGAATTATTCGGATCTCGAAAATGCCTCGCATGTTTTTGAGATAAAGAATAAACTCAAGGATATTCGGCAAGGAAGTTTGGATATCACCGAATATTACAATATGTTGCAAACCCTATGGCAAGAATTGGATATGCACTATGAAGCAGACTGGGGTGATCTTGAAGGCAACGTAAAGTTTAAAAGACATTTAGAAAAGGAACGGTTGTATGATTTTCTGGCTGGGCTAAACAAAGAACTTGATGAGGTACGAGGACGAATTCTAGGCCGGAGACCACTACCTTCCATTGGTGAAGCTTTTGCAGAGGTATGTCGTGAAGAGAGCAGACGCCAAGTGATGCTTGGGGAAAAAAAGGACTCATCTGTGGTCTCTATAGGAGAAAAACCTGCTGAGAACACAGCCTTTTCCACGAAAGGTACGCCTAACAGACCATATGGTGACCAAAAGTCGAATCAGCGCCCACGATGCTCTCACTGTAACAAACTTGGCCATACCCGAGAACGCTGTTGGGACCTCCATGGAAGACTTGCCGATGCAAAGCCAAGGAAACAGCCTCAAAGCAAGGGATTTCAGGCTGCTACAGAAGAAAAATCAGAGGACACCAACAACAGTAACAGTGAGTCAACTGGAGTCTTCTTAAACAAGAATCAATTCGAACAATTGTTCAAGCTTTTGAGTCAGCAAACCATGACTAATCCTAGCACAGCAACAAGCAGTTTTGCTCATCAAGGTACTGCTCTTCATGTAGAAAATCAAATTCCTTGGATATTTGATTCTGGCGCTTCCGATCACATGACAGGTAACCAATCTCTTTTTTACTTCTATACTCCATGCCATGGGAGCTCAAGAGTAAAAATAGCAGATGGAACCTTCTCTTCTGTTGCTGGAAAAGGATCTATCGGCTTATCCGACAACTTGTACTTCATTCTGTACTCCATGTTCCAAACTTAGCATGCAATCTGGTGGTCTATTAGCAAGCTCACTCAAAACCTTAATTGTACTGCTAATTTTTCTGTTACTTCTTGTCAAATACAGGAGCAGGGATCGGAGAAGATGATTGGCATTGCTGAGGAGAATGGCGGACTCTACTACTTTAAGAATGATGAAACCGTGGATAAACAAGCTACAATAGCTGAGAATATTTCTTCTGCTTCCAATAATGATGTAATGATGTGGCATCGTAGGTTAGGCCACCCCAATTTTCATTATCTCAAACGTTTGTTTCCCAACTTATTCATTAATAAAATCCCAGTTCCTTTCATTGTGATACTTGTCAATTGGCCAAACACACACGTACCTCACATCCAGCCAAACCATACATAGAGTCACATCCATTCACCTTAATTCATAGTGATCTTTGGGGGCCCTCCCATATAAAAAATGTCACGGGAACTAGATGGTTCATTACGTTTATCGATGATCATACCAAAGTATGTTGGGTCTATCTCTTTAAAGAAAAAACTGAGGTCTCAAGAATCTTCCAAAACTTTCACTCCATGATAAAAAATCAATTCCAAACCTCAATTAAAGTCTTGAGAACCGACAATGGAACAGAGTATTATAAATCCATCTTAAGTGATTATCTAGCAACTAATGGTATTATTCATCAGAGTTCCTGCACTGATACACCACAACAAAATGGTGTAGCAGAAAGGAAAAATCGTCATCTACTTGAAGTTGCTAGAGCCCTAATGTTCACAATGCATGTTCCAAAATATCTCTGGGGAGAAGCCATCTTAACAGCCTCTCATCTTATAAATCGTATGCCGTCAAAGATTCTCCAATTCCAAACCCCTATGTCTGTTCTTCTACAAACCTACCCAATGTTTCGTTTTTTTTCCTCAGTTCCCCTTAGAATCTTCAGTTGCACAGCATTTGTTCATATTCACTCTCAAAATTCAAAACTTGACCCAAAAGCAACCAAGTGTGTTTTCATTGGGTACTCTTCCACACAGCGTGGGTATAAATGCTACTCACCTACCCTTCGTCGAGTGTATGTGTCAATGGATGTTACCTTTCATGAAACTCAACCATATTTTCCTATGTCCCATCTTCAGGGGGAGACTCTAGAAGAAGATGGATCTTGGGAAGAATTTGATCCGCAAACACCTATGCCTTTGCCACCACCTACTTTACCTAGTCTACCCGAGCCTACCGAGCCTATTATACCTACTGAGCCTATTATGCCACAATTGGAAACAGGGGGAGATAACTCTCAAAACTCCACACAACCCCAGTTGCTTGTTTATTCACGCAGGAATCGTTCTCAAGGTAGTAGCAAGCCTGATGCCTAGCAAGGTCAGACGTCTGAACCGGTTCCTCTTCTTGGTTCCGAGTCCACTAGTAGTCCTGTTGATATAGACTTGAGCAACACTTCAGATCTGTATCAGCCTATTGCTCTCAGGAAAGGTACAAGATCATGCACACAGCATCCAATTTCAAAATTTATCTCATATGAGAAATTGTCTCCAAATTTTTCAGCCTTCACTACGGCTCTAACAAATGTTAAGATACCAAGAGATATTAAGGAGGCTCTTGCAGATCCAAAGTGGAGATTAGCAGTTCAGGAAGAAATGGGAGCCTTGAAAAAAAATGGTACATGGGAGATTGTGGAGTTGCCTAGCAAGAAAAAAACTGTGGGATGCAAGTCGGTATTTACAGTCAAGTTTAATGCAGATTGTAGTGTCAACCGATACAAAGCAAGGCTGGTTGCCAAAGGCTTTACTCAAGCATATGGTATAGACTACAAGGAAACGTTTGCCTCCGTAGCCAAACTCAACTCCGTAAGGGTACTCTTATCTCTGGCTACAAATCTTGATTGGCCACTTCAGCAGCTAGATGTAAAGAATGCTTTTCTAAATGGAGATTTGCATGAAGAAGTGTATATGGATCCGCCTCTAGGGTTTGAGAAGAAAGGAAAACTAGTGTGTAAACTGAAAAAATCACTGTATGGCTTGAAGTAGTCTCCGAGGGAGTGGTTCGAGAAGTTCACTCAAGCTGTGAAGGAACGGGGTTTTACACAAGCACAATCCGACCACACTATCTTCTACAAACACTCTAAGGATGATAAAAGAGCAATCCTTATAGTATATGTAGATGATATAATTGTTACTGGAGATGATCAACCCGAGTTGGAATCATTAAAAAGGTATCTTGCTAGCAAATTTGAGTTAAAGGATCTAGGTGCTCTCAAGTATTTCTTGGGCATGGAAGTTGCCAGGAACAGTTCTGGAATTGTTGTTTCTCAGAGGAAGTATGTTCTTGACCTTCTTCAAGATACAGGCATGTTGGGCTGCAAGCCAGCCGAGACACCTATGGAGCCTAATGCCAAACTTGGACTCGAAGGCGAGAAGGAGATTGATCAAGAGCAGTATCAACGACTAGTAGGCAAGCTTATCTACCTGTCACATACCCGTTCGGATATAGCCTTTCCTGTGAGTGTTGTTAGTCGATTTATGCACTCACCCAAAGAAAGACACCTCAAGGCAGTCTTTAGGATCCTGAGATATTTGAAAAAAACTCCTGGAAAGGGATTGTTCTTCAGAAAGGGAGATCACAAGGCTGTGGAAGTCTATACTGATGCTGACTGGGCAGGTTCTTCAGTGGACAGAAAGTCGACATCAAGGTATTGTACTTATGTTTGGGGGAACTTAGTGACATGGAGAAGCAAAAAGCAACCCGTGGTAGCAAGGAGCAGTGCGGAGGCAGAGTTTCGGTCATTAGCACATGATATATGTGAGGGAACTTGGCTTAAAAGACTACTGGAAGAACTAAAGATCTCTATTAGTTCTCCCATAAAGCTCTAATGTGACAATAAGGCAGCTGTCAGTATTGCCCACAATCCAGTTCATCACGATCGAACGAAACATGTAGAGGTGGACCGTCATTTCATCAGAGAGAAAATTGACAATGGGAGCTTCTGCATGACGTACATCCCAACCAAGGAACAGACTGCTGATATCTTGACAAAAAGTCTCCACAAACCGAATTTTGAAGACCTAGTGAACAAGCTAGGAATGACAAATATTTACATTCCAGCTTGAGGGGGAGTGTAGGAATATTCGGTTATTACCCAATATCAATTATTCCATATTTGGAATAATTGACTTATTATATTTCCCTAATATTTTAGGGATGTTAGTTTCTAGTTTCCTTTTCTGTAGGCTAGTTTCCCGTTTCTATTGAGGAGGCCTATGTATATATATGTGTTGTATTACTCCTAAAAGATACAAGAAAAGTAATTCTTCCTCAAAATTTACTTTTAGAGACCTTAGTGAAAATGCATTCAGAGGACAACAGTACTAAAACTTACTGATCCTACATCCTATATTTCAGACCAAAAAAATCCTGCATCCTGTATTTATACAAAACTAACAATTTCATTGTCATTTTGCAAATAATAAGGCTAAGGTAGAGGTTAGTTGGAATTTTCTAGTCGCACGTTTTATTTTCCATTTGAACATATTACTAGACTAGTCCAATCAATCTCTTGGCGCATGTACTTGTGCACCCGGTATTAAGTAGTCGTTTTGTGTGTGTGTGGGTGTGGATGTGTTGTGTATTTGCAGCTACAAAATGATAGCAGGAAAAAAAAAAAAAAAAAAAAAAAAAAAGGAAGTGAAATTTTATGGATATAGATATCAGCTCCGAGAATAAGATCAAATCCTCCCGAGTAATTTTCTAAAATACGGCAAATCTCCTCAGAATGTCCCCATTCTAGTTTTTCTACTGCTAATCCTGCAAAAGAGAAGTTTATAAGGTGAAAAACAGGACTAAACTAACTATAGCATGCATGTTCCTCTATATAAATTTGTCTCATGCTCACCAGCACAACAATTATAATTCTCAGAAGATGAGTGCAGCTCCACATTTTTCTTCAGTATCTGAGACAGAATATGTACAGTCAGAATACATGAATGCCAGAGAGAATGTATCAGATGTATCTGCAATGAATAAGAATTTTATGACCTTGCCTTGAGCACTTCTTCGTTATGGTCTGTTAGTACAACTTGACGGCAAAATCTGCTACAAAGTATTCCAGTAATACCTGCATATGAAAAGACAAAAACAAAGCTGCGGAAGTGGGGTCAAACATTCAGGGACAAAAGCTAAGAGAAGAAAGAAGAAAATATAAAAAGTAAAGAGGAATAAGCATTCAGAAAAAGAAAAAAAAAATAGAGAGAGGAGGGGGGGGGGGGGGGGGGGGGGTTGCGGTCAATTTTTTTTTCCTTTTAAATATCCATTTATTGTAAGATACATACTCCTAGAAAATACGTTGACATGAAGAACATATTTACTAGTTCTACCATCTGCAACTGCCTAAACCTAAAGATATTCTTCAAAACAATCATTGATTTTATTTTTTCTACTGCAGCGCAACTATAATATGTCCTACATGTTCTAGCTCGACCCTACAATGGAAAGAAAATCTTTAAGGCTAAGCTACAGCCCAGTCTTTCCTATGAATATTTGTTCAACACAGAACATATATGGCAGTTTTGAATCATAGTCAATGCTTGACTATATTTTGTTAACAAGTCGCGGAAAATGAAACTACAGTTACAGAATATACAAACGTAGTACAAGAATCAAATTTCCTCCAGAAACCACTAAATAAGCAGTTGCAATTTTCGATGAAGTGGTTGTGGTAAAAGAAAGTTTCTCTAGCTGTGGCACTTACCAACACCAGAACCTAACTCAATGACAGAGCACCCTTTTAGCAGATCTGCATTCTTCGACAGGTAATCATTCAAAAGCATAGCTCCAGGCCATACCAATTGCCCAGTGAGATCAAAATCAGCTGTGTAAAAGGTGGCAATTCCCATGTTAGAAAATGTATGACAGCAAGACAAATTACAAGGAGTTCCTTCTGACATGAATTCTTTTATGTATCTTCTTATTTTCAAACAAATCATTCAGCGGATGGTTCACTAAAAATTACAAATGTGCAAGACAGTATAAACAGAAGGTTAAGTGCGGAAATCTACCCTGACACTCCCAAAAGGATCAAAAACTCTAATCACTTCTTCAGCCTTTGGAAGGAAATCAGAAGGTCAAGACCCCAACAAACCCCGCCATTTTTGTGCTCAAATGCCGACGTGAAGCCAATAACTATTTCATTTCTGACGATTTATCCATATCAAGATTGAATTTTTATAGGATCTTTGCATGAAAAAATCATCCAAAATTTAATTCCCATTTATATTAAGCATTCTCCTTCCAATCTATAATCCCAGTGGGCATAACAATACTGATGTTTCATACCCATCATCACATAAACGAAAACTCATTTCAGTAGACATTTAAGAATTAGCTTTTCCTCTATCTGGGGCCTAAGCATTTCTTAACGATGGTTCCTTTCAACTTCAGGAAGTTCTTCTATTGAATTTTGATACTTAAAACTTGTCCTTAATTCACCATTACCAAATATTTAGAAGAATAATTTGACTCTGGAACAGATTGGCGAAACACTCCTAGATTATCATAGTACATTAAAAAAAAAAAAGATTTCTTCTACATATCCATTAAAAACATAAACTTATACGCAACAATAGTGACAAAAATTGGACGGAGGCATAAATAAATAAATAAATAACATAGCTCTCAAGCAAACTCTATTGGCAATAAGATAAAATGGGCATTGACCAGATGAAAGAAAGAAGCTTACTAGAAGCAGATTGGAGACATAGAAGCTCAATAACTTCAGACCCGAATGTGAATTTGGTCAGCTGGTAACTGAAAAAGTATGACGAAAATAACATTCTCTTCATTGTTCTTGCATTCAAACCCTCTAAAATAAATTAAAAGAGAGAGAGAGAGATAGAGAGAACATTACTTGTCGTTGATGAAGAAAGATTCGTCTAAGCACACTATTTCTTCTTCTTCTTCTTCGGTTCCCATGTTTTTTTTTTTTTTTTTTTTTTTTCTTTCAAAAATGCGGAATCTGCCTCATTGTGTTGTTAGGTTGTATATTTGTGTCGTTTCTTTTTCCAACTTCTCGAACTCCAGTGAGAGAATATGAGAGAGCTTCGTATTCGAAGCATTTTTGGTTTTGGGCTTTGGGCTTCTCAACTAAGATGGCTATTTCGGTGGGCTTTGTGTCCCCTTGAGTTGAACCCGTGAAGGTAATCATGATAAAATATTTTTTAAAATTTATGGGTAAGAATTTTTACTTTTCATTCTTAATTTATAATTTTTTAGTTAAATAATTACATCAATAAAAAAAATTATTAAAAATAAATAATAAAAGTTCAGACTCATATATTTTTAAGGATAAATTCTCTATTTTTTTCAGCTCAAAATAAGTGTCATAAATGTCTACAACCTAAAATATCACATACAAAAATGGTTAAGAAGCATAATTTTTTAAACCAATTTTTAAGTAAATAACATATTTTTGAAATGTTTAAAATAAAAAATATATTTACTAATAAATATTTATTTATCCATCATAAATATCATATTTAATAGCAAATACTCAACGTAAATATTGTATTCTCATCAAGTAAATAGATACATATTTATTTCAATGATCTCAAAAATATGTTATTTACTTAAGAACGGTCTTTAAAATATGTTATTTACCCTTCATTCGTGAATAATGTATTTACCCGATTGACTTATGCTATGAGAGAAAAGTATTTGCAGGGAGTATCATGTTATATCATACACTATATTTAAAATATCAAATAATCTATGTGACACGACCGTATTTACTATGACACTATGCATTCAAGGGTTGATAATGAAACCATCATTATCGACCATGTCAAACCCTACTACCTCAAGCTTCTTCACACACAAACTTAGAAATCACCTATCACAAAAGTATACAAAAAAATATAAAAATCCACAAAATTCACAAAATCACAACAAGAACAATAAGGTCATGAAAAAGAAATCCTGGTCATAGTCCATATGCATTTGTTAGATTGGTGCTAAATTTTTTACTATGTGTAGCATTTGTCAAATTTGACATAAGAATAATTGTATTTTAAAGTAATCTTTCCCCTTTTAAATATAAAAAAAAAAAAAAAAAAATTGACTTTGGCACATCAATTTAGCAAGATGATTTTATTCAAAACTTAATTACTATTATATTATTTATTTAAACTCTCTCATTTATTATCATTGATGGATAACTAATAGGTATAACGTCAAGGTCTAACCTCAGTCCTTAGAAGCTGCCAACCACTTGACCGAACCCAAAATTGACGGGGCAACTCTCACCTCTAAACTTATAAAAGACTAAATGTCCCACGCAATGTAATTTTGCCTCCCCGCCAATCATTTTCGGGGTTTAATGACCAATTGACATGAGGTTATTGTAAATGTCTCATTCATTTCTCTTCGCTAGATATAATCAGCAAAATAAAGATCTCGATTTTGACTAATATAATTAGACAACTTCGGAGATTAAGGTTAGTGTTTTTGTTTTCCCCTTTTTGGGTTGGGGATTAATTATAGATTATGACCTCAATATAGACCCTTGTTTACTTTTTTCTTTCTTTTTTAAGAATTAATATGTAGACGGTTGTTGTTACTATTAAATGGAGTAAAGATATTGATGACTCATAAGTCACATAGTTATCATTACTAAAATGTTGGAAACTTATGTATTACAAAAAACAATTGTGGAAAACGGTCAAATATGATTAGGTGATCGTCACCATATATAGGCCATATAAGAATATACGGTTAATTGTAATTCACAAATAACATTGGTCTTGATTATTTTGTTTTACTCACTTTACGTTAATAATTACTGACGACCGTTAGAGTATGCACATTATTAACTTGTAGTGACTATAGTAATTGCTAAAATAATATGACGTAACAGTGATTGAAAAAACAGAATCAAAAAAGTGTGTCGACCCTAGAGAGAAATAAGAGAGAGAGGTTGAGAGGTCTAAAAAGAGACGATTAGTCAGGTCAGAATTCTAAGGTCGCCTTCTGGCGTGTCATGGGGCTCCCGACACTAAAATTTAGTCCCCATACATGTTTGGTTATGTGCGCCTAGTGACGGTGATAGAGTGTGTTGAGAAGTCTCAGTGTAGATCGAAAGGGTGATGAACAATGGAGGCTATTGATTTAGAGTGTTATTCTTGATGTGCTTGACGTCCTGTAGTCGAGATCCTTCAAGTTTCGACCTACACGGTGGTGAGGATTCTATAGTGGTGGCGATGTCGTTTTCTGGCCATGTTGATTGCAGCATATGGGATCACACACCACCATTCAAATGATAGCATCGTGTGTCTATCAGGGGGCAACTGCTTTCTTTTATAACTCTTTTATCGGTTGTTTCCCAAAGAAGCCAATATCCACGTACTGACCTTTTGTCTAAGCCAATTATAATTTAAGCCAATCATAATTTAACTTTGTTTTTTTTTTTTTTTGAAATGGATTATATATTTTAAAGCATGAAAAGGCATTACAAACACCAATGCATACACATATTCTCTACCATAGGAAACACGACACTAACATATAACTGGTTCTGTCATTAAAACTCGAATAAATCTCAAGAGAAGATAGTGTGTACTAGACTTCACAAACGAAAATCATCCAAAAAGGTACACTAAAATTCGACCACACATATGGCTCTTAAACAAATTATATACAATCGATGGAAAAAATTCAATTTCATGAGAAATTCATAGCATGAAGACTAGACAAAAACTGCAATATATATATATATATATATATATATATATATATCATGTGGATGAAACAAACAACCAAGTACTAAACAAACAAAATAAGAACTAAGTTAATCAGGGTAAAAACCACTGTTATTGCAAACAAAAATGAAAAAAATTTACAAGCAAGAACATCAAAACACTAAGAAGAGCGAGGCCATTCAACACCAACAAAACAAAAAGGTAGAAAAGAATGGTGGTTGGTAAACACACGCATGCAATAATGATAAAAGATGACGTGTGCATCACAAGATGACTCAATTAATCTCTAAGACCAAATCTTTCTTAGGGTAGGTCGAAATGAAGACCAATGTGTCCAAAAACGCCTCAAGATCAACGACGACCCTTTCCCCCACCTTAGATTTAATCTGGTAACCGTTCTCCTCTACGAGTGTTACGAACCCCATCCCAAACTTTAATATTTGATGACTAACTTGTAGATAAAATTTAGTGGCTAGAGGCCCAACAATAAACCGAACCTCTGGCTGTAGAAGCTCCTGTTTTTCCTTTTTCCCTCTTTGGTTTTGCTAGGGCCGATGACCGATTGTATTAATCAGTTTAAAGAATTTTATTACTTTAGTACAAAATCCTTTTGACTTTGACTTTCAAACTCATAAAATGCCAATATCCAGGTGGCGGCCTTTAATTGGCTTGTATAGTTTATGGTCTTGTTTGCACAAAAATAAAAATAATAGTAATAAAAAAAAAAAGAAATAGCACGACCATGAATTGCCGTATATGTCCAAATTTAAGAAGATAAAAAAAAAAAAAAAGGAAGAAAAGAAGAAAAGAAGAATATGATTCTAATGAACGCCGTGAAAAAAACAGACGCATTAAATTAAAAAATTGAAAAGAAAACGACCAACTTCCAACTGAAAAATACCTACCACCCTTCTTTCCTACCACTTCCTCTCTCTCACCGCGTTTTAGAGAGAGAAAGAGACGCAGAGTGACAGACCAAAAAAAATTTAATTCAACTTTCTTTCCATCCTCCAACAACAAAAATCAAACACAATAAATCGTAAATATTAAACAACCAAAAAAAAAAAAATTTCAATTGTCAATTTTTAGTATTATTCTTATTTATTTAATTATTATTAATTTACGTCTTTTGGCGTTCCAGAATTCACACCACCAACCAAACAAGCCAAGCTTTTTCCCACAAAATTTCCGTCACGTTTTTGTCACCTGCCCTTCTTCCTCTTCTCCCTCTAACTCCTAATTATTCAACGGAAAATTTCCTTTTTTATTATTTTTTTCTCTCTGAAAGCCCTAAACTTGAAATTTGAATCCCTAAATTGTCGGAATTATCTTTCTATTCCCTAGCTCTCTGATTTCACTTCAGGTCTGTTGGCTTCTCCTTCCTAATTTGTTACCCTTTTCTTTTGATTGCTTTCCTTGGCTAACAAACAGGAATTTTTGGGATTTTTGGTTGAAAGCTTAGAATTTTTCTCACGAGTTTTTTTATGTGCAATTTGGGTTTAATTCTGTTTTTTTTTTTTTTTTTTTGTTTAATTTTTATGTTTATGCTTAGTTTAGTTTAGGTTCTTTTTTTTTCCTCTTGGTTGTTTGTGGTGGAATTATGTTGATAATTTTTTGCTGTTTGGTTAAAAAAAAAAAAGGTGGAAAAGTTGGAATGAAGTTTTGTTGGCGTGTAACTGGACTATGTTGTGCAATGCCTGTTGAATTACATATATAAATTCAAGTTTTGAGATGGTAATAACTTGTTTATGATGGAAATTATTAGCCAGTTTTTTGCTCATCATCTTTTCTCTTTTACTAAACTCTAACTTAGCTCGCCAATTTTACACATTGTAGTAAGTAAATGATCATATATCAGAGTTGATTATTATTGCTTTTGCACTAGCAGTTCCAGAATGACCAGCAGATTATAAGAATATTTGGCACTGACAATTCAGTGGAGATTGAATACTTATTTTTTAGGCATTTATGATCAACAAGTCCCTGCTAAAAAGAATGGAAGATATGAAGAAGTTCTTTATTATGAATCATTCGTCAATATTGGAATGTTAAATAAATCAAGTAAAACGTGGATTGTTTGCTTGCTTTTGCTGAATGAGGATGTTGGGATCTAATGCAAAGGAAAAAGAAGATCAAATTTTGTGTCTAAGAAATACCATTTAGAAATTGGATGAAGGAAGATTGCTTGTGTAAAGTATTACAGTTCGTTTAGATATAGCCTCAGATAGAACGTTCGTTTAAACTGTTTGGGTCTATCTTACATGTGCGAGTTATGTTATTGATAAAATTGAAGGCTATTGAAGTGGAAACTCCAAGTATGGGATCCTTTCATTGTTTGTTTTAGAAAATAAGGTGAAAAAAGTGTTTGTGACAGAGAACTTAGTTTTGTTGTGCATTTGTTATTTTCAGCCTTTTGCATCTTCTTTTCATCATGTCAAGTTTGGAGGAGCCACTTGGTTTTGACAAGGTGCCAAGCATGAGTACTATTGATAGGATCCAGAGGTTCTCATCTGGTGCTTGCCGGCCGAGAGAGGATAACATGGGCTTCGGCAACTGCTGGATTGAAGGAAGAAGTTGTAGCACATCCAATAGTTGCAGGTAAGTTAGGTGTCATTATGTTTCTGATCTTTTGTTCATAGGTTATTCCGATGATCGTTGTTGCACATGGTAGAACGCTTCTCTTAAGCACATATTTTAGTCCATTGACAACTGAATCAAATTTCCTATGTCTTATGTTCTTTTCTATTCTTTATATGAGCCATTATTGCTTGCAGCATCCATTGAACATGTCACATTTGGAAAAGGAGAGAAACCATAAGCGTAGGTGCTGAATATACTATGTAATGCCTTTGTCACATCAGTTGATTTATTTTTTTTTCCTTTTTTCAGTTTTTTTATTATTAGTTGGGTCATATTCCAGTACAAGACGAAAATAAGGGTCTACCACACACACTACAGTATCTTGATCTGATTCTTATAGCTAACTATAAAGAAGGCATCACCAGAAACTTTTTAATTAAGAATAGTAACAACGACCTGGATTTGCCCTGAGATCTTCTTAAATTATGGAAATAATTTATTCATGTTTTGCAAACTGATAGTTACCTTCATTATATGTGCATCATTCCGTCTTTGGCTCATTGTCCGATGTTTTCTGTAAACATTTTAAATTACATTTTATCTTTAATTGATTATATAACCTGAAAATTTGTTGTTTTGCAGTGATGATTATGAAGGACGTGAAACTGAGATATTTCCATGGGTAAGGCATACGAGAGACTTCTCTCAGGGTGACACTTTAAACAGAAGGACTTCCAGCCTGGGGAGGAATCAAGTCACTGGAACTGGGTGCTCTTCATGGTATTCTTCAGACCATCAATATAAACCCAAGTCCAATGACAGAGACAAACAGGACGTAACAAATAAGGTGATTGAATAGGCCGAATATAACTATATGTCTTATGCTTTTTTCATTCAACAACTGTTGTAACAATATGCGTTTATATAGAATATATTCCTTCTATCAATTTTTATGTGCTTCGTCTGTGGAATAGCTTTGCATACGTTACGTTAAGTTCACTACACACTATATTTAGGCCTTCGGCTTTTACACCGCACACGCATTTTGATTGAGTGGTAGTTTTGTTTTATCTATGAACAAGACATTTTCTGAAGGAATGCTTAAAGAGTTTGGTAACTACCGTTTCTGTCTGCTGGAAATTTTTTAAATCTAAGATTATAATTGTTTTTAATACAAAAACTTTTGATACAACACTGGCTTATTACAGTTACCTTGTCTAATCTTGTTTATAAAATACCAGTTTTTGAAAAGTATGCCAAAGTTTGTGAAGATAGTTGAAGTTGGTCCAAGGGATGGACTGCAAAATGAGAAGAATATTGTGCCTACGGCTGTAAAGATTGAATTGATTCACAGGCTAGTCTCCTGTGGATTGCCTGTTGTCGAAGCCACAAGTTTTGTATCACCAAAATGGGTTCCTCAGGTAATTTGTTTGTATGTACTTGACTTGTTAAGCTCAAAGTTAAGATTGTTCCCGAGGCTTCCATGAATACTTAAAAATATGCACAATTTGTCAATAGTTGGACCTGTCAAATATTGATAAAGATATCAGGGATCTATGTTTTATTGAAGGATTGGATTTCTTTGATGTAGTCTTTGTTTTTTTTTTTTGGTTGTTGGTGGACATCATGTCCGTTTTATTTGTGATCTTTCCCTTTTGTTTTATATATGTGTGAATGTTTCTGTGTTCTTATGAAAAATAAAAGGTTTGAACCTGTGAACTCTGAAGCCGGATTTCTATTATTGCTTAGGTTCTTGAAACCCAAACTTTGATGGTTGGGAGAATAATTTTACGGACTTAATTGTTGAATGAATCAAATCTTCATTTTATAAGACTTCTTTGAAATCACTAGGAAATGAACTTAGGTGGCTTGCTAATTTAGCAGACAATAGTGGCTAATGCTCAAAATGCATACCTTGAAACATAAAGATGGTGGTAATAATAATTGAGCAACTTATTTGCTGACCTTTGATGATATCTTGCAATAAAAGGAGCTTCATTTTACTTTTATAGTGTAGCCTATGGTTCGTATTATAGTGTTCATGTTTGGTTATTCAGTTAAAGAACTTGTACTTTCTTTCCGGTCATTTTGTTGAGCCTTTCTTCTCTCTTTTCTGTCATAGATCATTGATTTGTTATTCTTATTGAATTTCTTTGTCAATATCATTCAGAATTTGTTTAGTTGTTTCAGCTGTACATTTGTGCAAATCTCCTACATCCCGCCTTTTGTTTTAGGAGTTAAATAATTACATAATATATGTATATATATTATATTTTTTTTTAACTTTGTCCCCTTTTTGTCTGTAGCTGGCAGATGCAAAGGATGTAATGGGAGCAGTTCAGAATCTGGAGGGTGCCAGATTGCCTGTTTTGACACCCAACTTGAAAGTGGGTAGAATCTCTTGGAAAATCAGGGTTCTTAAAGATATGTTTGTGCATTTTTAACATGCCATATCTAATTCTTAATTCTTCCAGGGTTTTGAAGCTGCTGTTGCAGCTGGTGCAAAGGAAGTAGCAGTTTTTGCGTCTGCTTCTGAGTCATTTTCAAAGTCAAACATTAATTGCAGCATTGAAGAAAGTCTTGCTCGTTATCGCGCTGTTACTCATGCTGCGAAAGAACTCTCAATTCCTGTCCGAGGGTATGCTTCCATTTAAACTCTCTTTCCCTACCTCTCAAATTTCCTGAGCCGACAAAAAATTGTATCATATGTACATTAGGCTTTGTATTGACAACTGAAAACTTTTTTGAAGTTAGCTATTATGATTGGCTTCCGTGATTTAGGGGTGTCATGTAGTTAACAATTATTTTAGGCTGTATCCCTAGCGTGCATGATGAGTACATAGTGTTGGAATATATGTTCCCTCACATAGCGTCTGACATGGATGAATTAGCTGACTTCTATAGGTACATATCATGTGTTGTTGGATGTCCCGTGGAAGGAGCAATCGCACCATCCAAAGTCGCATATGTGGCAAAAGAACTCTATGACATGGGTTGCTTTGAAATTTCTCTTGCTGACACAATTGGGGTTGGAACACCTGGTAAATTCTTCCCCAAAACTAGGCAGATCTTTCACTATGCTCCTAAACGTTTTCTTATCTGTTGTTCACACGGGTTGCTTTGTTATTGGCTAATTTGTGTCTGTTTTCCTCTTCCCTTGCTTTGAAACAGGGACTGTTGTTCCCATGCTTGAGGCTGTAATGGCTGTTGTTCCTGTTGAGAAGCTGGCGGTCCACTTCCACGACACTTACGGACAATCTCTTCCAAATATTTTAGTATCCCTCCAAGTGAGCCTTCTTAGAAGCCCAACGTCTTTATCCAAATCTACACATGGTTCAAAGAATTCTTCATAAACTTGTAAATGGCTAGCTAAGACATTCCTAAACTTAGTTATTCAAATTAAAACTCCACTAGAAGCCAACATATAGTCGATAGTTTTGGGGCCAGTAGAATTCCTCTAGGAGAATTCTTTTGTGTTTACCCAGAATTACTTTATATTTACCTTGATTTTGGACGAACTACACCATGATAGCAGTAGTAATCGTATTTTATTTCTTGAACAGATGGGGATCAGCACGATTGATTCCTCAATCGCGGGCTTAGGGGGTTGTCCATACGCGAAAGGAGCTTCAGGGAATGTTGCCACTGAGGATGTTGTGTACATGCTTAATGGACTTGGAGTGAAGACTAATGTGGATCTGACAAAGCTCTTGAAGGCAGGGGATTTCATCAGCAAGCAGCTGGGTCGCCCTTCTGGTTCCAAGAGTGCTATCGCCTTGAGCCGACTCACTGCTGATGCCTCTAAGATATGACAAGTTTAAGAGGTAGATTGTAATACTATACGGATTACAAAGAAAATAAAAGGATCTCTCAGTTTTCGTGTCCACCACAGCCCAATTATAGGAATAAATAAAAATCCCATTACCATTCATCCAGTAATTATATTTGTTGGGGAACAAACAGTCCCTTAAATGTGTTCTGTAATATGTCTTCCCGATATTAAGCAAAAGCAGCTCGTTTACTTTTATTATAAAGCGTACCATGTGAAGTTTCGAAGGTCAATTGGCACACACATATAATTAAATATATACTACAAGTAACTTAAGCCTATACCACTTGCTTCTAGTATTTATTATTTATTTAGATATATACCATCCTTTGACACGTTAATTTGGCGTTTCTTTATATTGCCTTGCTTTTATGGTAGTTATGGTGGTTGTAGTCAAAGTTATGATTTGAGACAATACGTAACAACTATTGCCATGATTTTCCGATATTAAATGTTGTTTACTAACTACAACTTTTCTAATATATATTTATATATAATTTTTATATCACAATTTCACAAAACGTTCATCTGCATGGCGCACGTTTTCTCGTTATTATGGGATATTTGGTTGAAAGGTTCGTCTATAGTTCTGAATAATAGTTTTTTATTTTCTATAGTATTTTTCTTTTATAAAAAATTTAAATTTTAAAAATTAGAATCATGAATCATAATTCTGAACTCATGAGCCAAACGTCTCATTAATGATTGATGGATTTTTTCTTAAAATTCATGCAACAGTAATAAGACATAAATATATATATATATATATATTTTATAAAAAATTTAAATTTTAAAAATTAGAATCATGAATCATAATTCTGAACTCATGAGCCAAACGTCTCATTAATGATTGATGGATTTTTTCTTAAAATTCATGCAACAGTAATAAGACATAAATATATATATATATATATATATATGTTTATGTATATGTAGTACATATGTAATATTATGTCTTACATAGCATCGCGAAATCTAGTAAGTTACAAATATCATTCATTGAACAAACAACTTGAATATATGTATAGTATATATATGGCATCGTCCTTATGTTGGGTAGAAATGAAAGAAAATAAGATAGAAAGAAAATATAGAAGTGATAGAAAATAACAATGATAGAAAGGAAATTGATTTTCTTTTATGTTGTTTGGTACAAGAAGATGAAAAGAAAATGAGCTTACCTTCACTTGTTTGGTATTGGAAGTTAAATTGGGAGGAAAGAAAAAATTTTACTCGTAAATTACTTTTATACCCTTAAATTTTTTGCTTAGATGTTGATGGAGAAAATGGTAGTTTAGTAACTTTGCCCACTTTAATTAGTTGTCCCCATTTTTCACTCCATTTTCCGCCCATTTGTAGAAAGAAGAAAAATAGTGGGACCCACATGTATTATTTTTCACTCCATTTTCTCTTCCTCTCTCTTTTCTCTTCTACCAAACAACCTATAATTCCATTTTCTCTCCCAAAATCTCTCCACCTTCTTCCTTCCTTCTACTTTTCTCTCCTACCAAACATACTCTAAGTCAGGCAGCTGCACATACATAAGTGTGACACGAGCACACAATCTTACACAAGTGAATATAAAATGTTACATTTGCCGGACTGATTTAGCGACCGCACTGAAGACATTTCCAATACGTGTGTGTGTGTGTGTGTATATATATGTAATGTTATGTGTTAGATAGCATCAAAATCTTGTAAGTTACAAATATCATTCATTGAACAAACAACTTGAATTGGAGTATTGCCTTCCACCACGTACAAATATCTATAAAAACATATGACGTGACTCATAATTGAAGCTTATTCACCACTGCTAAAAAGGAAAAGAAGTTGCAAACCGAAAGATAGCTAGGCGGGCTCATTATCATTTTGTGGCACCAACGAGAAGAGATGACACACGTGCTGCCCACGTGCTTCTCAAGTTTCTTAAAGCTTTGAAATTAACTTGGTGGACAATGGACATGATTAAGGGAAGAAAATCAGTCTGTTGGTGTGAAACAGTTCATGAAAATAATATGTCTTCCCGATATTAAGCAAAAGCAGCTCGTTTACTTTTATTATAAAGCGTACCATGTGAAGTTTCGAAGGTCAATTGGCACACACATATAATTAAATATATACTACAAGTAACTTAAGCCTATACCACTTGCTTCTAGTATTTATTATTTATTTAGATATATACCATCCTTTGACACGTTAATTTGGCGTTTCTTTATATTGCCTTGCTTTTATGGTAGTTATGGTGGTTGTAGTCAAAGTTATGATTTGAGACAATACGTAACAACTATTGCCATGATTTTCCGATATTAAATGTTGTTTACTAACTACAACTTTTCTAATATATATTTATATATAATTTTTATATCACAATTTCACAAAACGTTCATCTGCATGGCGCACGTTTTCTCGTTATTATGGGATATTTGGTTGAAAGGTTCGTCTATAGTTCTGAATAATAGTTTTTTATTTTCTATAGTATTTTTCTTTTATAAAAAATTTAAATTTTAAAAATTAGAATCATGAATCATAATTCTGAACTCATGAGCCAAACGTCTCATTAATGATTGATGGATTTTTTCTTAAAATTCATGCAACAGTAATAAGACATAAATATATATATATATATATGTTTATGTATATGTAGTACATATGTAATATTATGTCTTACATAGCATCGCGAAATCTAGTAAGTTACAAATATCATTCATTGAACAAACAACTTGAATATATGTATAGTATATATATGGCATCGTCCTTATGTTGGGTAGAAATGAAAGAAAATAAGATAGAAAGAAAATATAGAAGTGATAGAAAATAACAATGATAGAAAGGAAATTGATTTTCTTTTATGTTGTTTGGTACAAGAAGATGAAAAGAAAATGAGCTTACCTTCACTTGTTTGGTATTGGAAGTTAAATTGGGAGGAAAGAAAAAATTTTACTCGTAAATTACTTTTATACCCTTAAATTTTTTGCTTAGATGTTGATGGAGAAAATGGTAGTTTAGTAACTTTGCCCACTTTAATTAGTTGTCCCCATTTTTCACTCCATTTTCCGCCCATTTGTAGAAAGAAGAAAAATAGTGGGACCCACATGTATTATTTTTCACTCCATTTTCTCTTCCTCTCTCTTTTCTCTTCTACCAAACAACCTATAATTCCATTTTCTCTCCCAAAATCTCTCCACCTTCTTCCTTCCTTCTACTTTTCTCTCCTACCAAACATACTCTAAGTCAGGCAGCTGCACATACATAAGTGTGACACGAGCACACAATCTTACACAAGTGAATATAAAATGTTACATTTGCCGGACTGATTTAGCGACCGCACTGAAGACATTTCCAATACGTGTGTGTGTGTGTGTGTATATATATGTAATGTTATGTGTTAGATAGCATCAAAATCTTGTAAGTTACAAATATCATTCATTGAACAAACAACTTGAATTGGAGTATTGCCTTCCACCACGTACAAATATCTATAAAAACATATGACGTGACTCATAATTGAAGCTTATTCACCACTGCTAAAAAGGAAAAGAAGTTGCAAACCGAAAGATAGCTAGGCGGGCTCATTATCATTTTGTGGCACCAACGAGAAGAGATGACACACGTGCTGCCCACGTGCTTCTCAAGTTTCTTAAAGCTTTGAAATTAACTTGGTGGACAATGGACATGATTAAGGGAAGAAAATCAGTCTGTTGGTGTGAAACAGTTCATGAAAAGTTGTTGAGATCCCAATGATGATAGATCACCATGACTTTGACCACCACAAAAAGGGTAGGGACTAGAAAGAAAGGCCAAAAACAAAAGGGAAGAAAGAACTCCAATAACTTTTGCTTGCCCACCATTTTTATAGTCTCTGCCTTAATGATGGCTTAATGTGTACTCATATCAACATTGTCTCTCAGTACCTTTTCAGTTTCTTGTGTGTTTAGAATTCTGAAAAAGAAAAAAGACAAACGCGGTGTTTAAAATTATTTTTGTTTTTGTTTTTTATATTTTTTGAGAAAAAAAAATGAAAACGATTTTAAAATAGTGTTTGACACAATTAAAAATAAAAAAAAATAAAAATAATTTTTTAATTTAGTGTAAAATGGTCATTTTTTCTTTTTTATTTTTGTTTTCTCATTTCTCGAGCAGAGAGAGACATTAATGGGTTTTTTTATACTGAAAATAATCTCTTAATAAAACTACTAAATACATTTTTAAAAATAATTTCTGTTTGAGATTGAAAACGTTTACGTTTTCATTTTCATACAAAAAATAAAATAAAATCAAACGCAGCCAAAGTTTCATGTTGAGGATTAAGTCCATCTTCATTGCAAATATGTCAATGTTAATGCACCACTTTGTCAAAAAAAAAAAAAAAAAAATTAACGACACAAAAATAATTGGTCTTCACTTAATTGTTGAAAAGTCAACAAGTCAATCTCAAAATATAATCTATATTTGGTGTCAAATTAGAGTTAGACATCAAGTATGAAGCCAAAGTATAACATATGTCAAATATTGTAAAAACAACACTATTTGGAGAAGAGATTTTGCACCCAAATGTTAGACTTTAGCATTGACACATAATCGTTTGTCACGACACCCAAGATACTCTAACCTCTCTAAAATAGATTCGGCTTTCCATAAATTAAGAGAAGAGGGGTGGTTATCACTCACTATGGTTAATTAGTTGTTAAGGCCATGCATTAGGAAGATTGCCTTGTTGAGTCATGGATTATGATTTATAATAAAGTTATAGATAAGAACATTGGTGTTCGTCTTTATAGGGATAAATTCCTTTGATCATTTATAAAAAGGTGGATCCTATTAGATTAGGTCTCACTCGCTTTTTTAATGGGACTCATATTATGTGAGTAGCAGGATTTTAACTTATGAAGACGAATGAAAGTGATCTGTAAATTAATATGTGCGTGCGTGTTTGTGGGTCAACATTTTGGAACACAACAAAACTTTTGGTAAAAAAGATCTGCATGGTTTTGTTTTGGTGGAAACTTGCTGATGGCCCCAAAGTGGTGTGTTCAAGAAGGTACAACAGGCGAAATCATCATAATATATCTTTGAATCAGAAAGGCCATGTGTTTTTTCACTTTTAAGTCTTCTGTGCTCTTTTTTTTTTTTTTTTTTTTTTTTTTTTTTTTTTTAAAATAATTTTTTTTTTTTTTTTTTTGAAAAAGCACATACAATTTCTTCGGCAGCAAGCATGGCTTTTAACCGATCCGCGTGGATGAGATATCTGAACTTTAGCAGAATAGGCTTGA